AGAGCCAGAATGGCAGCCTGTGGGATTTGGTTTTTAAGTCACAACCTCTGGATTGCAAGCTCTATGCCCTAACCACTAGACGGCCACTGACACAGACTTTATCTTTCAATATGCTCTGTCCAGCATTCTTCGAGGAAAAGTTTTAGTTTCACCTGGTTTAATTTCACATAAAGGAACCTTTTGCTATCCAATTATTAATCGAATGATCAAAAAAGAGAACAAAAAATCAACAGATTAATCAATTTGTAAAATAATGGTTAGTTGCAGCTCTAGTTACTACTATGTAGCATATGCACCACACATAGTATTGCTACAAGTGATGTATATGATGACATCGCTTTCCAAAGTGTTTAGTGGGTTTGCCTTAGACCCCGCACCAGGCTGTAATATATTCCCGTTACTTCGGTCAGTTTCTCTGTCAGTTTTTGTCTCTTTTCATAGACATGCTTGCATAGAGAGCGCTGTGAACAGCCAGCTTCTTTAGCAGAGAGGCTTTATAAATTATCCTTCTTTTGGATGGAGCCAACACCTGTTAGATGACTGTCAAGACAGCAGTCTTCCCCATAATTGTCCAACACAAATAAATGGTCTAAACATTTTTTTTTATTATTGTGGGACAGTTTTACATTTTATTTAGCTGTAGTTGATCACTAATACAGATGCAAATAAAAAGAGAAAATGAAAAGCACTGAAAAGTAGGGGGATACGATACCTGATTATGCCTCAGAGTTTGCTTATGTTTTCTGTAATTTAGCTTTTTAAAGTCTCAGTAGCAGCATATAAATAAATTTCACAGCCTGCCACAGCATGACTCACCTTCTCCCCCGCAGTGACACTATTCATGCTCATCAGCCTCATTTAGATGACCATATGGGCAGACAGTGGTGTGCGATTCCTTCCAGAGAATTCATTAGCTGTCTCGAATTGCACGTTGCCAACATCTCTCTGTCTGCTTGAAATGGACAGTGAGGTTTGGCCTTGTAGGCATCCTTAGGCAATGACGCCACAACTTGCAGCAGCAGACCAGTAATTGGACTTTTTCTCAGAGAAGCGCAAACTGTGACAAAGTTTGAGTCCTTAGCAATGACTGTGATACAGAAGGAAAAAGTGCAGTGCTTTACATTCTGTAAACATTTTGACTTTATGACTGTTTAATTGTTGGAACTGTACAAGAAAGCATGTGTTAAACAAAGGGGTTTCCTGCTCTTTTGTTCTCGCACAGAGAAAGAACATATCGCAAAAAGAATGAAACACAGAAGATAAAGAAATATTTTAATGCATAGCAAATGACCAAACGGAACAAAAGCAATGGTAAACATATTTGCATTCAGTCAGTCTGAGAACAAATAAATATTTAATGTAAATATGCCTAGTAAAATAGAGTTGTGTGTTATAATATAGACAAAAATGTCTAGGGAGCTCAATAATTCATAACTCATACAATATGTACATATTTAAACAGCCCATCAGTCTGATGAGCAATTTTGTTTGCGTTTATATCAGTCTCTGTGGTTCTGCGCACATTACTTTAAGTCAGAATCATGAGTCACACATGCTTGGTAGAGTATCAGGTCAAATTAATCATCATCAAGAGCCAAAGGCATTTGAAGTTTAGCTGTGGCTGCAGAAACCAGCTTGGCAGGTGAATAGCCTCACTAACTCATCAATACCTTAGTTATCAAAAGTTTTATAAGAGGTTGCTGGATTTTGGGATGTGTATCATAATCAGTGCTTTGCAGGATAATCCCTCTGTGTTTATCTAAAAATGTAGACATGTCTGTTCATCATTTCCTTTTTACAGGCGAGATCTTCATGTCTTTTCTTGTTGTTAGTTTGTGCAGCGTTCCATCCTCGTCCTCTCCCGTCTGCTGCTTGGCAAAATTAACAAACACCTGAGGAGAAAAAAAAGGAATTAAATCAAAAATCAAAATAGTTTGTTATCAAAGCTTTATATAAGGACAAAAATTGGTATTTATTTTGCTTTTCAACGTGACATTTCTCATATATTACATAATGAGCTCACAAAAGCAGTTATTACCAGATGATTGGTAATCAACTGCAAACAACAATTATAGTAAATTAACTATATTTTTAAATACAAATATAAAAACAGTGAAGAGCTTCAATCCAGGGAAAAAAACCTAAATCTACAAAATGCTATTTTATGTTGTGAAAACTCTTTTGTTATCCCTTTCACATTCAAACATATGCAATTACAATAAATTTATCATATTATAACAAATGTTTCAAGTTCCTGCGATCTGATTTTATTGAGATAATTCATAAAGTTTTCATCTTTAACACATCTTTTATAGCAAGAACAAAATATATGTTTAATTATAACATAATAAAATTAAAACTGGAGATAATGTCTGCTCTATCTGAACAGATCTAATTCTATGCAATGCTTGGACTGAGCCATGGGAGGATTTTGGTTTTACTTAGGAGCTTGGACCACGCTGTGATAATCATGCATACACTGGGAATGAAATGAATGCATGCGGGCTGTAGAGAAGAACAAATAACTGAAATCAGACTGAATGTCATGGTTTTGGTTTTGTTCACGTTTTATCTCTGAGTTTTCATTGGTCTTATTTTTCATTCTTGTGTTCTAGGTATTTTTTTTATTGTTTTGTGTTTGGACTCTGGCACTGTTTTTTGGTTTTTGTTTCGTATTTTTGGATTTTTGCTTCTGTTACCCTTGTTGTTATTAAACCTTCAAGAAAGCACACCAGCTTTTGTGTCTGCATTTGGGTCCACCTTCAAACCTCCACCTCCATTGTGACACTGAGGTGACAGCATATCTCATAAGTCAACTGATGAAGCACTGGAAGCTCCATGGATCCAAACTACACCACACAATGAATTTTGCAGTGTTAAAGTAACACTTTAAGAATGCATTTGGAACCACTCGGAATTAGTGTTAAATTAGAACTCTACATAGTGTAAATTTTACTCCAGTTGTTGTTGTAATGTACTTTGACACTGCATATTTAACACTGTGGAATTTACTGTGCACCTGAACCGCCTTCAGGTGGGTAATTTTGTCACACAGTGTCATCAAACATCAAAACCAATTCCGTATTATAAAAAGACATTTCACTAAAATGACGTCAAATGACTTCTATGACAAAATTAAGCCTTTTAAAAATGTATCAATGAAGAGTTGGTGGCGTTTTCTGAATAAAAAAAATGTTTTACAAGAGAAAATAAAGCTCTAACATATGTCTTGATATTTATATTATATATATTATATCAATCTATTAAAATTGCATACAGATAATCCACAATAAATGTGAAGCTGGTTTTTAAAAAATCACAAAGATTTTCTAATAACAAACAACAGTGAAAAAAAAATGAGTGGTTCATTAAAAAAAAAAAAGCTAAAACTTAACTTACTTCAAATAAATGCAGTTTATTTATGCCTGTATCCCATGAATATCTTAATAAATTTACCTGCATTTTTTTCTTGTGTTATTCTATTTTTTCCAAAAATGCTAAAGAAGAATTCTTTTTTTCTTTTTTTTTGTTTTACATCCAAATTGTTCATAAAAGCCACGGGTGATTTCAAAGATCAAGAGCTAGTTTTCACTTCCTCTGCATTTCTACAGCAATTATAAATTAAGTTTAAATACCATTACTAAAGAATGAGTACAATGGCTTTCGTTTTTATTGTTACATCTTATCCTTACCTGATCCAGTGTTGTCTGGGAAACAGAGTAGTCTTCAATGCTTAGCCTATCTTTATTGGCCACAACCAGCTGGAATATCCTCGCTAGGGAGGATGAGGCAATTTCATATTGCAGTGTGTTGTAGTGCTTCTCCCGCTGAACACAGCCAGGGAAGGAGCTCTCCATAAAGCTCTCCACAGGCTCCAGCTCTGGAGACAAGCCTGCTTTAGCTGCCTTGATTTTCATTGTTACAACATATCCGTCGCCAAATCTGGATATAGGAAAATATGCAACTGCACTCAGAATTAATGTATCACTTTTTACATTAAGAACATAAGACATTTGAAATATTAGCTAAAATAAAAAAAACACAAAGGTTAATGGTTAAATAAGAAACAAAGTCTTACTTGTATTTGAGATGCTGGATGGTACCAAGACACTTAAAGGTCCCGTTAACCATGATAGCCAGTCGAGTGCACAGAGCTTCACACTCCTCCATACTGGGGGAAACAGCAGTAATCCATCTTTATTATCAGTTCTGCCACTTAATTTCTGTGACCAACAGCTTTACATGTGTAAGATTTATAGTGATTTTGGAAAGTAAAGATACTTGTAATTTGAAGTTCATATTGGAATGCATAAAAAAATCTTCTCAGTGTGTTTATTTAGAATATTAACACAAAGTAGTGCATGCATAGGAAGTAGAAGGAAAATGCTACACGGTCTGGAAGATTTTGTGATTAAGGATTACACAAAAAAGTGGCATCCATTTTTATTAAGAAATCTTGAATCAATGCTGTGATTTCAGCTGCAAGCCTTTGTAATTTTGATTTGACCAGTTTTGCACATCTAAAAGCTAAAGCTGTTTTGGGTCATTCTTTTTTTTTTTTTAACACAAGGCAGATTTAACTGGATACATAAGCATCATCTGTAAAGGAGCATTAAGTTCAATCCAGTCCAACGAAGTCCACTCTAAAAATATTAATAATAAAACAAGGGTAAAAAAAATAAGTTGGGACTCATAGCTTATAAATAGGGTATATAGGTCCATAGCCTGGTTGATGTGAAGGTTTGTGTCTAACCAGAGCAGGCTGGACAGGTTAGTGCAGGTCCTCGAGGGCCGCTGTCCTGCAGGTTTTAGAGGTTTCCTTGCTCCAACACAGCTGGATAGTTGAATAACAGGCTCTTGCTGAACTGCAATCATTAGAATCAGCTGTGCTAAAGCAAAGAAACCACTAAAACCTGCAGGACAGCGGCCCTCGAGGACCGACTTTAGGGATGCCTGGATTAGTGGATCAGCACAGTGCAGAACTTATAGAGCTTTTATCTCCTCTTTTCCCAAAATTTTGTTCCCCATAGAAATGGTCGCAGCTCCCAGTTCCAGATCATTGTCATAGGGAAAGAATCATTAAATAATCTTATACGTCCTTGGTCTTATTACGCATAATAATACTATTTATATAATATTCTTTCATTTTGATATGCAGTTAAACATATCCAATATGACAAGTCCGTATTTATTTGATTAACCGGCTGCTGGTTTGTGCATATCCGTCTCTCTTTGGATCATGAAGTCTATACCCGGCATAAGTCAGCTATGCAGACTGTTATGTCTCTTTCTTAGTACAACCCCTTAGTTGTTTTTTTTCCCCCAAAATCAATCATATGACAGTTAGAATAAGGCAAATTAGTGCCATGTTTTAACACCGAAGCAGCAGAAAAAAAAAAGCCGGCATTGTGGTGGAAATAAAAAGAAAAGCCTGTTTCAAGATGACCAAACATTCCACTATGCAGTGCAAATATCAAGTTACCTTTTCAAGCCTGATTGTTCTACAACCTTACCCTAGTCTAAATTTTCACTCAACTTCATCATGACCTTTCCGTTGTCATTTGATTTTTTGGGAATCTGTTTGTTCATTCGTATCTTCTAACACAGGGTACCTTAACACTGATCCTCAGGGCCCGCTGTCCTAAATGTTTTCTGTGTTTCCCTGCCTCCACACACCTGACTTGAATGAAAAGGTGATTAACAGGCTATTGCAGCATTTGATGGCTGTCAAGGAGGAAATGCAATTATTTTAATCAGGTCTGCCTCAATAGAGACACATCTAAAACATGAAGGACAGAGGGGCCCCTGAGGACCAGGGTTAAGAAACCCTGCTCTAACCAACCTGAGAAACCTTTACAGATCAGGTGTATTTCAAGGTGTATCGTAATATATTAAAATATTATGAAATATTGCATGAATTTCAATAGCTTAACTCACTAAGTAGGATAAAGAATCTACGTTATTCATCCACAGACTGACAGTTTAAGTTTTTCTTCTTTTTGATGTTCAGCTAATTATAAAAGTTGCATTTCTTAGATAATATAGTAAAAGTTTAGAACTTAAATGGATTTATTTTCAGAAGTTACTTTATATCAAAGATGAGTTCCAATAGAAAGGAACAAACAAAACGATTTACTAAAATTTACCTGTAAATAAAAAAAGAATGTCTCACAAGTTGATTGAAAAAAAATGAAAGTGTTAGAGTATACACATTCTCAGATTTTTTAAATGTTAACTATATGTAACATTTTCGCTTCACTTTAAAAACCATGCACTACCTTGTGTTGTTTTATTACAAAATAATCTCTTCAATTATATTGAGCTTTGCTGTTATGGTAGAAATAAAAACCTGAATTGCTTCATATAATGTTGTTCAGAAAATGCTTTGGTGGGTTTTGAAGTTTTCCATCATTAGATTTCAAACCTGTGTGATGTTAGCACCACGGCCCTGCCATCCTGAATAACACTCATAATGGCATTCCACAAAAAGCGTCGAGAGTGCGGATCCATCCCAGTCGTCGGCTCATCCTGAAAAAAAAAAAAGACAGTTACAGAACAAACAACAAACTTACGGTAACTCTCTGAGCACATAACACTACATAAACAGAGAGCAAGTTTTTATCTCTATCAGCATATGGCAAAAAATCTGATTTATGCCAGTTTGAACTGAACTGCACGGTTTTCTTGCCAACATATAAAACATTCCAGGCCAGGCCTGACTGAACCCATATGGTTTACCATCTGGATCCATAGACTATTCCATTGATAAATTCCTGCAAAAAAAAGCCCTATAAAACACAAACAATGGGCTCTGGAGCTTGTTGTCATTGGCTCTCTTACAAGCAGGACCAGCGCAGGGCAGCCAATCATTGCGATAGCTGTGGACAGTTTCCGCTTGTTGCCTCCACTGTAAGATCCTGCACTGCAGCCAGCATATTCTGTCAGACCCAGCTTCTGGATGCCCCACTCTGCCACCTGCAGAAGAAAAAACATGTGTTGAAATGCGATTTCAATGCATCACTGACTGAATCATTCAAAAAAGCACTAAAAAGCAGATGAGCTAAGTAGGGAGGAAGATAAACAAAACATGAAGAGGAGTGGAGCTGTTTGTCGTTTGCACTGCAGAGTAAAATGTCTTCAAGCGGTTCAATATGTGAAGCAGCTGGAGTCCCACTTACTCTGGGGATCTCTGACTCAGGCACCCCTCTGAGGCGAGCGTAAAGGTAGAGATGCTCCCTGCCGGTAAGGAGCTCATCAATGGCGTCAAACTGGGGGCAGTAGCCCATATTCTGGTGCACATCAAGTATCTCTGTCAGGATGCTGCAGACGAACACACAGCATGTTACTTGCTATTCAATGACCAAAAAACAACATCAGATTTGAGACCTCAAAATCTGATTGTGTACTTTCTTAGAAAGTGTGTCACTAGGTCCAATGTTGTATCCCATCTTTACAATTTATCCAGCATTAGTTCTGAAACCATCACAATCGACTATGTGTGCCGATGAAACAACAGTCTATGAATCTGCCAAATGGATATCAAATCTGTTTTCAATTATAGAAAAATAATCATAGATTATTAAGCCATGGGTTTTATCCCTTTAAAACTAAATGTATCATATTTGATACATGAGTTTTTTTAGACCTCTGCATCATCAGTGTAATTTTTTTTATCTAAAAATCCCTGACTTACACAACCAGACACATGTAGTGAACCAAAAATGTATATAATATTCGATGTATAAAAATTGATGCAAATAAATGATCTAATTTAACTTATACAATTATGTATATTTTCTTAAGCTAATAAAAAAAAAATATAATTTTCTGTAAATATTTCATCTCCAGGATTTAAAGGGTTAAATAATACATTCAATTAAACATTTCTAACACAAAAAGCATTGTGTTTGGCTCAAATAAATCTATCAAAAATAATTCATGGTTAAATTCGATAATAAATAACACTTTTATAGAGAAAGTAACAAAGGCTAAACTTTAGCATATCTATCTGGAGAACAAACCGTCTTGGTCAAAACCTATTGAGTTTTTTTTTTTTACAAAGAATATAGGAAAATCTTTATCTGCTGTAATATGTAATAAGTCCGTTTCAGTTAATTTGGTAGCTGTTGTTATCAGAACTGTAATAATTTCTAAAAAAGAATATTGTCGGATTATCTGGGCCAACACTAAAAAAAAAAAGACCAAGAGCAATTTTAACTGATTTATATAGAAGTATATTAAAAAAAATCATTATAAAAAAATGTGGCAGAGGTTTCAGGATCAGATAATTTGCCTCTGTGTTGATTTCTTTTAGGAAAATATTAAAACTTAAAATTCCAATGTTTTTATTTAGTCAATTTAAAACAGTAGAGAATTGCTAGGCTATGCTACCAGGATCACTTCCAAAGGAAAGCTTTTAATTCCAAATGTAAATCATATTTTCTTAAAAATTCCTTCATCTAGAGAGCCTTGGAAGAATGAAATGCCTTGCTACAAAAAGGAATCTATATAAAACATATGCCATTGTTTAAAGAACAACTGAGGAGATATATAGGTGTCGACGATTTGTAAATATAATTAAACAACCGCCTGCAACTGAAATGGAGGTAGTGAACAGATACACTCTGTGTATAAATTGTAATTTAATGTCTACATTTCATTGAAGTGTCTTATTATTTTGCGATATGCAACTTCTTTCTAAATCTTATGGAAATTACTCTATATTGATTTTTTGCTTGTTATTTGTGACATTAACAATATTTTCGTACATTCATGTTTTTTAATTAGGACCCCAGGAAGACTAGCAGAATGTAAAGCTCATGGGAGCCAGATTAATAGATTAACAAAAACAACCTCCTCTGCCCGGTCTCAGATTGTACTGTGCATATAATGGCTTGGAGGGAAACCTGTGCTGAGTTTGTGTGGAAGACAGATGAGGGAAGAGTCTCACATATTGTGGGGTTTCTCGAAACACAATTTTTAATCGGTAGACAGGTGGGGAGTGGGGTCATCAGCTTGTTGGTGAGAAAGTAGTGCGTCAGTGCCAGCAGCCTTCCTAGGGTTCACTACGCTCATGTTTTTGCACACCTGGTGCTCGTGGAGAGAGGTGGGGGCTGGAATCAAGGAGTGGCAGTGACTGCAAGCGTGTTTTTGTGGCCTCAAACCAGTCAAATGAACTGCTGCCAGCTTGCTGCTACTGCAGGAAGGGGGTCGGCCTTTCTAATTGGTTTGGCCCTGGATGCCACACCACATCCTTTGTGGAACGTTGTCGTCCAGATTTTCTTCCATTTTCATTTGTAGCGGCTTTTGGCTTGTTTGGTGCCCCTTCTCACGTCAGCTCTGGCAGTGCTGTAGAGAATCCTGTCTCTTTTCATGAAGGCCAAGTTTGGAGCTCTGATAAGAGTATGGATTTCTTTAATCATCCAAGGCTTCCTGTTTGTGAAGACCCAAATGCCTCTTTTTTTGGTCACATTTTCTATGTAAAAGTTGATGTGGAAGAGGCAGACTGTGTGTATAAGTCCAGATCCTGATTTTCCAAAACATTACACTCCTCATAGGCCTCTGTTCTGCAGCTGGAGGAAGGCATTTTCAGGCCAAGCATTTATAGACTCTGGGGCAGGTTGTCATTATCTTCTGGGGGGAGTGTCCCAGAAGGAGGAACTTAGAGAGCTGAACTGGTTGTCTGAGGTGGGGATCTCTGCTGTTCATCGAGGGCTAGTATGGCTCCTTTAACTGCTAGTATGGGTTGCCTTAATGTGTCTGTGCTTTTTGTCAGTTTAGGCAGAAAGCTATGTCTGGGATAGGTATAAAGCTGTGCCATAATCTTCTCAATTTTAAGTTCACCAATTTAAGGCTGTAATGTGAGATTGTTCAAAGCTGATTTAAACTTTAACACATATTTTTCTCTGACCAGTCTGTTGTATTCCTTGATCTCTATGATGCTGTTTGTTCATGAATGTTTTCTTAACAAACTCCATGCTGAGACTTAATACCACACAGACTCTGTGTTTACTCATTAGATTATATTAAAGGCAGTTAGTTCCAGAAAATTGAATTCATTGGTATCAGAGGAAAGGAAGCTGAATACGATTAAAACCATGCCTCAGGTTCTTTGTTGGATAAGTGCTGAAACCATAATTATCTTATTATTATTATGAGCTGCATTTTGATGATCTTATGAAATTTAATATAAATCCATTGAAGTTTCTGGTTCAGTCATATAAATACCTCTGCAAGATACAGTATCCTTTAATGAAGTCTAAAAGAGAGTTTTGCATCTTGTTAAATAGGACATGAATATTACTCTGAAAAATGAGCTCTACCTACCTGTAACCAGTCACAGTAGCCTCTCCGAAGCTGACATCAGTGTCACCTGTCAGCATTTTGAAGGTTGTTGTCTTTCCAGCTCCATTAACTCCTAGAAGACCAAAACACTAACAAAAAAAGGCCACAATTATTACAGGAAACATAAAAACTGCATAAGAGAAAACTTTATATGATTCTTGCTTCTCTATAGTTCTTTAACAGGTCCCTGTTAAAAATAATAAATGGCATTAAGAAGCAAAAAAGCCTAAACTTGATATTATGACTTGATTTCCTAGATGATCAAAGACCATCAGTTACTTTTTTGTTTTGTTTTGTTTAAGCTAGAAAACTTGGAAATAACCTACATATATGGTAAGATCTATCTATCTATCTATCTATCTATCTATCTATCTATCTATCTATCTATCTATCTATCTATCTATCTATCTATCTATCTATCTCATTGATTTGATGATATTGTTTGTATAGATCAGATCTGTTTGTCTTAGAAAGTTCTTTGATATAATTTGTGATTGGCCGATTCTATACAATATGTATGAAACTAAGTGACACTCTATCCATGGTGTATGAAGGCATGGTATATAAACATGTAACTAACTGTTTTAATGAATAAAAACTTGTCTGCATAAAGAATGGAAAAGCTATGGATCCTGTGCTAGAGTATTTTAGGTCTTTGTCTTTATAATAAGTCAAAAAACAGAACTGTTAGCAAAGAGAGAATCTAGAAATAGATAGACAAATAATTGAATTCAGTGACTTTACCTCGCCTGCAGGGACTCCCACACAAATCCGGTCCACAGCTGCCCTCTTTCTGCCCACATACGTCTGTGCAGAGAAATGATTATATCTCACTTCATTGGAGCAGTAACACAGCAATAAAACACACATGCCAGAAATATGTTTAAAATATGGATTTAATACTTGATTTAAAAAAAAGCACTAACTTATCTATGTCTAAATTGACCAAACATAGAATTTGTTAGAGCATTAATCTGTCTGGCAAAGAAAAATGACCCTAAACAGTTAAAACAAACGTGGTTTAACCATTTTAAAACATTCCAGGACATTTAAGTTTTATCTAGTACTTTAAAAATTAAGACTCCAAAACTGCTAAAGTGTTCTGCTTTTCCTTTAAAAGACATGCAAAAAAAAATGAAAAATCTCCAGCTGAGAAAAGCATAGAGTCCAAACTATTGCTGAAGACTGACAGTCTGGCCTAAAATAGGCTGCTATAATATCATTGCTAGAAAGACAAAATATAAATATTTATATTTATTAAATCAAAATTTAAATATTTTTATATTTACTCATTCCATTTAGGCTTATGGTATTTAAACAATGAAGTTTATAAAATGATTTGGTTTTATTGTCTTAATTATATTCATGTTCATACAGTAAGTAGCTTAAGTGCAACAAACTAAAGTAAAAAATGAAAATAAAAACAAAAAAATAAAAGGCAAAATGCAATAAAAAAATGGGACAGTTATCTTTGTCTGCTTATTAATCCCCCCAACAATCCCAGAGAAGGAGTGATAGTAAGATCTAAATGTCATGAGTTTAGCACCACTAACTCCCCTCAACAGCTGCTTGCTTACACTAAAATAATGTAAAGGGAATAATAAATGAATAAACATTAAGTGTGCTGCATGTAAAGCTTGTAAAGAACATTGAGGGAGATTATAGGCTGTGATGGATGTTCTCTAGTAGCTGTTATTGTTGTTTTTTGACTTTATAAAAATGCCACAATATTTACATTCCGTAATTTTCTTTATTTTGATTTAATTGTTTAAAAAGTTTTTGCTGCCCCACTGCATTGATTTATAATGGCCTGTGTAGACTTTTTTCTCCATTAATATTGTTTTACTATTCCTAGTTTTGACAGTCCAATATATATATACACATGTGTAAAAAAAAATCTATCTTCTTTTTCTGGCATTGTACTAGTGTCTCATTGGGGGCCACAATGACCACAGACATTTTTGCATGTGAGTTTGTACCTGACTTTTAAAATTGCTAAAGAAAAAAAAGAAAAAAAGACTAAAAAACTGTGGCAAAACTCTGTATTTGAGATAAAAACAACTGCTTTGCATATTCTCAACCAGTAAATCTGGACCGGTCTGCATTTTAATAAAGGCACACACCTAAAAAAGGGCATCTAGGTTCTGCCTGATGAATAGTAGCTCAAATCATTATGTGCTGTCTTTGAAAAACCTGTGCCAAAGAGTTTGCACATGTTTTAAGATGTGTAAACATCTTAAAGATCAGCCCCTAAGAGTATTATAAGGAACCAATACATTTAAAGAAATGCTCATGTTGATAATTTTTTACCTTTGAGAGATCTTTGATCTGCAGGATGTCTTTCTTGCTACCTCCCTCATAAATCCTCCGCCTCTCTTCTGCAACATCATCATCCTCATCTGGTACTACACTTTGCTTGTAGTCTGGTAACCTGAGAGAGGAAAAGAAAAAACAGAATCTCTAAGGAGATTTGTACATGAGCAGAGAATTTAGAAATTAGTTCTCTAACTCTGTGTAATGGATGTTGCTTCATCGATTTTGATAAAACCCTCACCAGTGATCCAAGAAAAAACGATACTGGATCAGCAGATTGAGAATAAAATACAGGAAGCCCTCCACTAACATGGAAAAGATGTTTTTTCCAACAAAGTCCCACCGGAAAGGATCCATTGTGTACTCTTCGCCTAAAAGAAAACAACATATGCAATCCAAAAAATTACCAAAATTTTTGACGGATGACAATGAGGCTAAATTTCAAAGGATATTAAACTGATTTTTTTATTAAGTATTCATATTCCCTGAACTTTCTTTTTTTTAACTGCTTGAAGCTCCAATGTCAAATGCAGTTGACAAAATTTCTTTGGCATAAACCTACACAAAGTAGAGCATAATTGCAAAGATGATACATTGCTTTTTAATACAGCACGTTAAAATATGGGTTAGTATATTTATATGATAAAGCCTTCAGATCACCGTTAATTTGTAATTCAACTTTAGCATTAATCCAGGTGTTCTGTGAAGTCATCAGAGGTTTGTTAGAGATCACCAGGGATGAAAAAGTTTCCAGAATACCAAGGAACACAGTAGAGTGTTCTACGAGAGAGTTGTGGAGAAGTTTAAAGCATAGATATGTTAAAAAAATATATAAGTTCCCAAGCTTTCATCATCTGAAATACGAATATGTTCAATATGAATATGTCCTAAACAACAGCAGATTATCTACCTTCCCTTAAACTAAATGGCTGAGCAAAAAGAGAAGTTTCTCTGACCAATTAGAGAAACACCAAAGAGATCAATGCTACCTCTGAAGGAGCTGCCGAAATCTAAAGTTCAGTAGGTAAATGATTTTATTACCAGAAAAAAAATTTTGTGTTGGGCTCCAGAAATTAGAATTTATGGAGGAGTAGTGATAAAAAAAAAACAAAAGTTATTGCTGAAAGAATTTCACAGGAAGTGTTCTTCGGAGTTCATAAGTAGTTACGGGGACACAGGCAACCCAGTAGGAGGTAGTACGATACCATCCTGGTATCCTCTGGTAATATGGCCTGTATCCCAATACATTCTATAGAGCTCACATCATCCTAAGAAAACCGTTTTCACACATCGTGGCGACAGCATAATGCTTAGATTTTGTTCCTTAGGATTGATAAGGAAGCTGGTGTTAGACAGTAAAAAAATACCCAAAAGACTGTACTGGAAGTTCAGCTTTGAGCCGAATACAATTACAACAACACAATTAAAGCTATGGGGTTTAGCTCAATGCATGTTTATAAAAAATAAAACTAGTCAAGAAATGGAAATCATTGTTTGTAGAGGCTCTCCATCCGGTTTGACTTAAATTATTTTTTCTCAAAGAAGAATGAGCACATTTCTGTGTCTAAATGTGCCTTTCCTTTCCAATTTCCAATTATGCACTACTTTATGCCGGGTAGATAAATTACATGGCAGTGGATAGGAAAGCCTATTGTATGTTTGTGTATTCTTTGTGGTCAATTTAGTGTAAAACAGTGAACTTTAACAAGTGAAAAGGAAACACAGTGCTTACCAAACCTGGCATAGACATCTGTAACAGCCTGATTCATGGCCATGTCTATCAGTCCTCGCCCCAGGCAGAAGTGAGGGAACACCAGAAGCCATTTCTTCAGCCACTCGTTAAACGTCAGCAGAGACTAAACACACCAGAAGGTTTCCCAGCAACAACAATAGCTTTATTAATACACCTGATGACATATAAACACAACTCTCTGACACATATACTAAGATAAAAATATATTTAATTTGTAAAAGAAGTTTGTAATACATAGAATATTGCTAAAATGCTTAGGATTTTTATTAACTGTGATTGTATTAGCTTTTATACATAGCTAAAAACAAGGTAGACAAAGTTAAAAAAAAATCTTAAAGTAATCATTTGCTTCTTTTATGACTGTTCTAAGTAATATCCTTATTTTAAATGTATTCTGCATGTGAAAACTTTTCTAATTAGGATATTTTTTCTCTGCAAAAAAAAAAATATGGCAGCATAGAATGTTTTAATTTATTAAGCTTTTTTGGAAAAATATCTCAACAAACAAAAACATGGCTCAGTCCAGTTGCAGCGCTTCTCTCATTAGTCATCTGCGAGGAGAGGAATGTAGCACAGATGTTCAGATGAGAGGAACATCTGCTGGAGAATAATCTCTATTTTTTATTATTATTATTATTATTATTATTATAGGTTATAAGGAGAATGCAATCGACACCCTTCACCTTTACTTTGGGTGCTTTGCACCCAGCCTTGAATTTTTAGGTCTCATTGTTATGTTTTCCACATTAATCATTATAATTCACAGATTCCTTTTTGGCAAATACTAACACAAATTTGAGTCCAATCTAAATTATGATCGCCATGCCCGCCTTGATATAAAGTTTATTTTTCCTGGTTTATCAGACACTTTTCTTCCCTGCAGCTCTAAAGTAGCCTGAAGTCCACTTCTTTAATAACTGATTTATATTGTTTACAACTGAGAGTAGCTAGACAATAAGAAAACTGCTCTTTTTAGAATTTTTTTTTTTTTTTCTCACAGCCGTGGGTGAAGGGAGGCAAAAGAAAATTGAGAATTTTGCATTAATGTGTGATTTTGCTCCAGGTGAAATGTTTTCCAATATTAATTGAACAGAAGCCAATCTATAATCGTTTCTGTTAGTTGCATAATGCATATGTTAAAATGCATTTACTATCGTAAATGAATAAAGAAAATGTATTGACCCAAACAACATGCAAATTATGCATGTTGTTTGGGTCAATAAAAAAAATGTCCTAAACAACTTTCCAAAGGTCAAAATATCTCTTAGTGGGTTGCAAAGACAAAACACATTTTTGTGGCCAAAATCCTTCTGTTATAACTTTGCTTGATGCTCACCACTTAAGGCTAGTCCAGAGGGCTAAGTGTTATCATTTACTAATCCAATTTCAATGCAAGTTTTGAATCATTTAGTTGTTTCAACACACAAATGTATCCAAATTTCAGTCGTCTGGCTCAAAGAAGGATTAAGTGAAACTGGTTGAAATTTGAACAACCCATGAACCACAGGGAATTCAGCAGATAAGAAATTGAAAGAGGCAGGAACGCTATTGTCAATGTCCTTAGGAAAGTCAGCTTCACATTATATGGATTGGGCAGGGGCTGCCAAAAAATAAAGAAGGGCCCTGTTTAAAGAAGGATATCTCCAAGTATGGCCATTGATAAGCCAAATTATGTACTGAGAAAAGTAAAAAAACTACTATCAAATGCTTGTCTACCCAAATGGTTTTGTCATTGATTCCTTTATTTAGATAATTCTAATGGGTTCCCTACAAGAAACCAACCATATATTGTCCAGGTTGAATTAAAGTCCATAATCCAAGCTTGGATTGGGCACGGCTATTTTGACTGTTAACACAGTGAAGGTGGCCAGTTATATTAGAGAATAACAAAAGATTTAAAAAAATATTTTTCATTGTTTTTATTATTGTCTATCTGGCCTAAAAACAATGGTTCCAATAAATATTACAAAAAGACTAAGACTAATGCGGATGGAGTCCCTAATGAATGAATGTGAACTTATGACCTGAACTGTATTTAAATCCATCTTTTTAAAAGTAGCTGTGACATGGCATATGGGTTTTTGTGTCATGGTTTATAAATACTTTGTACAATTATGAATTACATTATTAGAGTTTGAGGTTTAAATTCTGAATAAAAAAAAAAAAAAAACATGTCCCTACTGTTTTCTCAACAATGCTGCTACTTGTTTCTAAGTATCTGACTATTATTCATTGATTTTCTCATCAAACATTAATTTCTCGCCACATTAAGCCCATCCTGGGGTTAATGGAGATTCAGCACAATTAGTTCTTTGTAAGAGTAAATCTTCTTCATCCACCTTAAAATGATCATTATAAGACTGATAAATGCAAAAAAGTTCACTCTAAACCATTAGGTTGTTTCTTCTGGTTAAACTTCCTGGTAAATGTGTCCTTACCCGATTATTTTCAAACAGTTCCAGAATGAAAGTGATAGCACTGCTGTTGATGCCAATAAACAGATTGATGCAGGACAGAGACACGTATGCTGTGCTTGGGATGTTGAATATGTAGGACATTGGATACATCATAGGTGTCACCGACCACCTGAAAGAAGGAGAGTTGGAGACAATCATAATAGTGAGTTTCAAGGATACGTTGATCCTCATATTTTAGAGGCTTAACACCTATATTATATATATATATATATATATATATATATATATATATATATATATATATATATACACACACATGTGGAAAAATAATTAAGAGAATACTCCTTTTTGATAAAACCAAAAATGATATACAGTAGGAAGTACTTCTACAACAAAAATCATTTGTGGAAAACATTTTCTAGAGTGTCCTGTTAGTCTTGTTAAATCCAATTCTGCCATAGTTTTAAAAATGTCAACTTTAGTGACAAGCAACAAGAAAAAAAAAAACGAAGTTCAAAAGAAAAACATTGAAAAAATAATATGTGCGCTTGTTTGTTTTTTCCTTTTTTTTTTTTTTTACCTGTGCCTAATATTTAAATTTCTTGTTTGTTAAATAGGTTTTTCATTCACTTACATGATTAGGAATTTAATTATCTTTCTAAAGAAGACAATCAGCTAGAACAGACTGGGTGTCCTAAAAACATCTGTTCCAGAGGCACAAGTTGCATTATATTTTAACATTTTTTAAAACATGATGTTTTCCTTAATTAACTTAAGCTAATCTAAAATCAGCATCTTACCCATAAAGGAGAAGAAGACCTATTAATGCTGGAAGGTTCGTTGGGGATGTGTAACACTTTTTATCAAAAGCCATAAAAATTCCAACCACCATTGCAGTGCTGAGAAAGTAATTCATCTGAGAGAGAAATTCAGTTTACAACTTAGATCATAAAACAATTGCAGTAACAAAGTAACAGCCAAATAAAGATATTAAACTTATACAAAGACATATTCTCTAAGAATTGACTTCCCATTACAACTGTCACTGTAATTAAAATACTATATATTCATAAAAACATTTGTGAGTAGTTTTATTTATGAATTCTAATCTTACTCACCATGTCCCAGAAGAAGTTAGCCACCCAGTACACTAAAGGACTTACTCCACTGACAAACTGCAGGTGCTTGGCTTTAGTCACTCTCTCCTGAATGAGGTAGAGGACAAAGCCAGCGGGGATGAAGGACATGGCGAAAATGACACAAATCGCAACAACAGCATCCACAGAAGTAGTCAACCTGTGGGGATAAAAATTAAAATCAGTACTTTGAAATATGGTATGGATTTTTGTTTGTTCAGAATGCCTAAATTGTGTAGACATTTCAAATATGTAAAAACTCTGCCAGTCAGAAAAAACAATGACTGTGATCCATTTTCCGTCACGCTTATCCCAAGTGGGGTCACGAGGGGTGCTGGTGCTTACCTGCAGCTGTATACGAGCAACCAATGACTGTCACTTTTGCAGTAATTTCAATATATACAAAAAATAATACATATCTGCAAAACATGTTTTAAAACAAGAGGGTTTGTTGTATATTTTGGGAGAAACTGGGATAAGTCCATCGCTACCTCCATGATGAGGGAAGAAATGGAAGTTGTGGGGAGTATAAATGCCTTAAGTTTGACCTAAAAAAAACAGACTGAATTAACCTGAGATGTAAAAGAAGGGGCAGAGTAGATTGTACTCCTTGAGAAGCATTACTCCCTCAGTGTTTGAAGTGTCTTCTTATTATCTATTATGATGTTTAGAAGTACTGTAATCTCTGCTGCCATCGTCTGTTAGGGTAATGCCATTACTGCCAAATTATTTCAAAAAGCTCATCAAGTGGATAAAAAGAAGGGCAGCTCTGTTCTTGAAGCTCTTTGAGAGCCACTGAGGAGGATTTTACATAAAATAATTTATAAAGCAAAAATACTATGGACAACCCTGAGCATCACCTGATCAGGCTGCCATAAAACAACAGTGTCTTTAGTCAGTGACTTCTCTGAATGAGCTGTAAGACAGACCTTCACAGGAGATCCTTCCTACCTAACGCCATTAGTATCAACAATAACTCCTAAAAATAAAAAAAAAACAATACTTTTGCTTTACTTTAAGCAACATTTATTTTCTCTTTGGGACTAATTAAGTATTTTAGAACTAAATTGAATAAATAAGTAAGAAGAAGAAGTGCTCATCTACCAATGAACGATGTGGGAGTAGTTAAAGGAAGTTCAATTCAGCCTCTACAAGCCTTAAAACCACCACTAAATACACCATGGCACCTGTTCATGCAGAAGTTTAGGGGAAAGTATTAATCTGTCTATCTTATTACCACAAACCAAAATGTAGAGTTTTCTAAATGCTATTCGCACTTATTTCTGTGAATTCAATTTAAATGTCTGCAAATGGTGAAAAGACAAAAGCCAACTATAAAATATAAGGGACAATCTGTGATGCTATGGGCCTATTTCATCTATAAATCCCTTGTTGAACATTATTCAAACAACTTGCATCATGAAGTCTGTGAAATTTAAGAAAGATATAACTAACTACTTAGTGGTACTGCTGAAAACTAAAAATAAGTCTTGACTGATAATAACTGCATCCACAAACAGGGACGACCTCAGGTATGTGCATACTGGCACTGCTTAACCAGAGGTGTAGCAGGAACTCTCTGTCTATCACTTCTTTATTTCAGAGTCTATCGGCTCTAATTGGAGCCAATTGGTCTTTAAACCTGATAATGATCATGATAAATACAAAATGAGCTTTGTCAATCCATCTTCTGGCTTGTGGCTATCTAGTATTCTGTAGGCAACGGGTTGGGTACACCCTTTACAGATTGGCAGTCCATTGTAGGGCAACGCAAATACATGTAACAAATGCACACACACACACACACACACACACACACACACACACACACACTTAAGGGCAATATAGAAATACCAATGGCCATTTGTATAACAGTAAAAAGGACTATTACTAATAGTTATGTTTTTGAACAGATGGAGAAGGATACCCAGAGAGAACCCATGCATGCCCAGGGAGAGTATGCAAACTCCTTACAGAGAGATCCTACGGCAGGAACTGAACACAGGACCTTCTTGCAGCGAGGCAACAGTCTTACAAAATACACCACCATGCAAAAACAAAGATCTTGAACTCCCAATTCTGTTTTATTGTCAATTGTCCCCTCCAGATATGAGTATCATAGGAGCCGCAAAAGAAAAAATCAACCGGAAGAATCCTGAGCTCTTGACAATCTGGAGATGTATTTAAAAACAAAGTCTCTTTCTGTACGCTCTAATCCTGTCAAATATTCAAGAAGATCAAGTGGTGATATACTGGCAAAAGGGATTCTGGAGGTTACAAAAGGATTTTTTTTTCTAGTTAGAGGTAATCAATCTTTTTTAGGTGTTGCTGTTGCTTTTTTCAGTGCTGGATCATTAGAAAACAAATTAAAAATAATGTATGTTGACGTGTTTTGAACAGGTTCACTGTAATTGCGCTAATGATTTTGCATGCCACTGTTTTCTAAAATAAGTTTTGGAAAATTGTAAAGGAAATATTGCTAAAGATAAACAACCATGAGCTTTTACAACTACTAAAGGGTTTTGGACATAATGCTTTAAACCCTAAAAGAGCAACAAATAAAAAGGTGTGGGTGTGCTTACACTGTGACTTCAGAAAGCTGCTCTTTGGTGAGATTTAGAGGGTGGTTGATGGCGGTGATGCCATACTCAAAAGGGTTGGCAAATGAAGGGAGGAAGGCTCGCAGAATGGCATTGTTGGCCACATTCATGAATGCCACCATGGCGTGCCAGCCTTTGTTATTATACCACACCTGACAAAAAATTGGAGAGCCAAGTCAATACATGTCACCAGAAAAAAAAATCACCCTAAAGTGGGTGCAAAAAACGTTTTTCATAATCAAACTCCAAAACCTACCTTCACATTAAACTCACTCTCCATAAAATGTAAGAACGTACCGATCTCCCTCAGTGCAAGTCTGCTGTAATGACCCTGTGAAGATAAGAGCTCAGAATGAGCTGAGTAGATGAGTTCTACTCTCAAAGGATAAAGCAACGAAAGGTTTACCCCTGTTATGTTGAACATCCGTCCCAGTTGATGAAAAACATTTTGGATGTCTTTAGGTTCCACGTTAAGAATAGGAAGTTGTCCTCCTACAGAGAGGCCTCCATACCTGTGACAGAAAAGATTTCTGTCTGAACAATGCAAGAGTGGAACTCCAACATCCACAAACAGACCGGACTAGAAGAGATATCCTTACCTTTGTTCATTTACCCAGTATTTGCTCTTTAAGCTTCAAAATAAAGGTACATAAGAAGACACTTCATTAATAATTAATCAAAACTAGAACAGAACAATGATACAACTGTAAGTCTTTTATTAGATTTTTTTTTTTTTCGAATGTTCTGTCCAACCTGCCTGGTTCTGATGAGATTGGGATACGTTTTGACCAGATAGTCAGAAATATTCCTGTCGGTCAAATCCAGCAGGATATCTCCAGTGGCCTGCACCCGCTGCCGAGGAGGAAAGCCTCCTGCCCCAGCAGGACAGATGGGCATCATAGTTAGCTTCTTTCCAGTACTACACTGGCAAGAAGGCGAAGGGTTACGCTGGTTCCATGCAGGACTCTGTAAGATGTTCCGGACAACAGGGGAGACATCAGGTTGCTCCCAATCTGAGGCACTGGAGTTGCAGAAAATCCTTCACAAAAAAAGACCATTCATGTGAGCTATTTACTATTTAATTAATGACTAAGAATATTTGACAGCATCTGGCACTGTAACCCCACTTTTAGCAAGATAGTTTTTCAAATGGATTTCTACATGAATGCTTAGAAATACCCAATAAAGATTACTTTAACTGCAATATGTTTAGAGGCATAGAATTACACATAGACATAGTCTAGCTACATAGTTATTGTATTTATTGCTTGCTTCCAGTGTTGATACTCACCCTGACAGTTCTTCCAGCATGCATCGTGTTCCAAGGCCCGGCATGTTTAACAAGCGATCTGTAAAGTGCCTCATTCTGGGATCAAATGGACGCTCATTGCTAAAAAAAAAAATAAAAAAAAAAATAAAAAAAGGTAGGGAATATAAGACCTTGTTGTTATTGAGAATGAGATGACAATTGCTGCCCTTTTAAATAGCATTATTTTTTTTTTCAAATTTTGTCACTTTAATAGGAACTTAACGGCATTTTCTTTAGATACTTTTTTAAAATAAACACACACAAAAAAAAGTATTGTGAAATAAAAGGAAAATGTTTCTGGTTCTGAAACATTTCTGACAAAAAGAAAACTTAGAAGTGGATATTTTCATTCAATCCTCTATAATCTAACATTGTCACATAAAATCCATTGCAAAAAATTTCTTTACAAGTCACCTCCTTAGTAAATAGGAATGCCAGTGATTTAATCAATTATAAATCAAGTTGCTCTGTAAAGGCCATCGTGGTTTGTTGCAGAACATTAGAGAACAAACATCAACAAGAAGATCGATAAACACGGCAGACAGGTCAGGGAGAAGCTTTGGTGAAGCTTTGTTGATAAAAGCAAATCAAATTCCATTTTCAAGTCATCACTTCAAAAAGACACATAGGCAGCTGGAGGAAGATGACTTGGTAAGACGGCACTAAAACAGAAACTTTGCAAATACCCTGGAAAAATGTTGTCCTAAGTACAACTTTCACACAACAATATAGTGGTAACAACTTGCTATGTTAATCATTTCCTTTAGCAAAGACATGGAAGCTGGCAACAGTTGATGCAAAGATAGCTGAAGCTGAACCCAAAGCGACTCTGAAAGAAAACCTGTTGAAGAGCAACAATAACACACTGTACATTTAAAGCCATGATGGCTTGGCTTCATTAGAAGATTTCCCTGTTTCAGAATGATCCAATCAAAGTCAAGACATCGTAGGAAAGAAACTCCAAAAGATTTAATTGCAGAGAAATTACATTCTATTTCACTGAGTAAGAGATGCTAAATATAAGTGAATGCTTTACCAAATCCCTCTAACTTAAAAATCATGCATTAGTCTATCGGATAAAATCTTTACAACCTTGAATTAAAGTTAATTGTTAGAATGTGACAGAATGTCAGACAGTAAAGAGGACTTTGAATTCAGTGGCAAAGGCTCCTGTATTTATCTGTCCATCAAAGTCTGACCTGAAGAAGGTGAACTGTTGTCCATACATCCAGGGTGTCAGAGTTAGGCTTGGATACTCTCCAAATGGAGGAACAATCAGCGTGAAGATAAGAGAGACCAGGACAAAGGTTGCAGGAAGCACAATCTGAAACCGGTCACAAATAGAAATAAGTTTCAAACCTGCAGAGCTTTGAAATAACATAAAATATATAGGTTTTTATTTCTCTGATTTATTTTATGAAATAATTTAAAATACTGAGCCATAATAGCTTAATGTGTACCAGTAAGTACCACATCAGTGCATGTCCATGTTCACAGCATCCAGCAGTACCTGTGCCAAGAAGTCTTTTCTGCTTCTTGTGGCGTGATGGAATCTCTTCACTAGTAAAGCATAGAACTGCTTCAGGATCAGTGCAGAGCCTTTCACCTGTCTGGAGCCCCTCCCTGCACTGCTGTCAGATGCAGTCCCATTTACACCAATATGTTCTATAATAATCAGGAAAACAAATAACGAGTGTTAGAATGAAAAATTTACTAAAGGAAAAACACATTTAAGGAGGGTAACTTTTATGGAGGTGTGCTGATCAAAATCTAACATGCCTAGTATCTATAAAAGTAACATCAAGCTAAATTTGTGAAGCTTATGCGGCTGGAAGAGAGCGTGTAATAAGTAGCAGCTGCTGAATGTTTAATGTAAAAGTGAAACCCTTAGAACTGGGTTATTTTATGCCACATGAGGTTTAAAAATGATATGACTTTCACAGAAATCCTTCACTGTATTTTATTTGATTTAAATATGAAATACAAATTTTAACTGGTGATAAAACTGCATCTAAATAACCCAGGTCATATGGGTTCCATAGGAAAAAGAGGGACATTTCTTTGCATTCTTATTGAAGCGCTGTCCAAACAACCCTGTTTCTCTGACCTTCAGCTTCGCCTACACCAACTTTGCTGCCATTTTGTCTTCCCTGTAACATCCACTGTTCTAAAGGTGGGAGAAAACACACAAACTGCTGGGTTAAAACCACAACATACGCACAATCTAAGATCTCTGGTTACTGTTTAGGTCACATCTGCATAGTTCAACTGCAAGATTCACACTTATATCAATATCACAGATTTAGGTCTGGGGGGAGGATGGAGGGCACATTGGATAGACAGACCAGTGGGTCAGGAATTTAATCCCAGGAAAAGGCCAAGCAGAGTATCAGTGGTGGCATTTACCAGCAGTGGTGGCATTATTTGCTGCTTCTCCATCGGCTGTGACCTTTAGAAATATCTAGGATTAAAAAAAATACAACAAAGATTATCCTTTAACTTTCAAAACACATCATGCATTAAATAAAAGGGATTTAAAATTTAGATCTACAGTAGTGTGGGAAATGTAGGCAATATCCGTGCTGGGGGATAAGCAGGAAGAGCTAACTAAATCCAAAATTATTGGTTTAAGTTTCCTGAAAGATAATATCATGCTTTTAGAAATAAGTTTTAAGTGTCACTCTAGTTAAATCAGACATTTTTTTTTTTATAATCCTTAACTAAAAGATATATATATATATAGAAAGAGAGGTCCTAAACTGAAAAAAATATCATCCCAGTTTAGGTTCGTTAAACATAAAGCTCCAGTGCATCTAAATGTCAGGATTTTGTGATAACGTCAGTTGAATATGCTAAAGAATAAAAACTATGTTCCACTTTTTATGTGACAAATATCCTACACAATTTACCTTGAAAAACAAACTGTTGTGTGGAACATCTGCTTGTCATTACGTGTTTGTTTTTTGGTTTTTCAGTGGTGCCAGCTTTGTGCAAGCAGGAGGATTCTACCCTGACCTTAAGGAGTATAGCAGAAATCTGGAAAGGAAGCTAGTTTCTTCACAAGCTGGCCGTGTGTGGGCTGCATGGGCTTTGTGGAGGCTTGGGTTCTGCACTGTCTCAAATTTTAAAGTGAAGTGATGGCATGTCTGCAGATAGAGAGAGGTTTTGTTTAACTCTCTGCAAAAAAAAAAGATTGGTTTTGTTTAACTTTCATTTAATGTGGTCTTTTCTGTTGGTGGATGCTGGCGATTGACTGTGTAAATACCTGCTTCTTGAGTTATGAATAATTTGTTATTGAGGTCCATTTACACCTGCCATAAATAATTAATCTGAGAAAAAACGCTCAGCTATTTAAGTGCAATCTTTCTGGAATAACTAATTTCTATTGGCTAACTAAAAACAGTATATGTGCATTCAGGGATAAAGGGACGGGAGCGGCGGGGTTAGAAACACATTTATATATATATTGGGTCAAAGAAGTACGACCCAATACTTACATATTTCAAAGATTTATGTGATAAAGTGTCAAACTAAACACCACATCAATAAAAGGACAAAATATAAGCTGTTAAACATAGAAGTGGCTGCATCATGCTGTGGTGCTTAGATGAAACTAGGACTTTTCTGAAGGTGAGCAAGTTAGTAATTATTAATAAACCACAACTTTAAGGTGCTGAACGGAAATTAGAAATGAAAGAAGAAAAAATACAAATAGAGCCTCTACTAGAGTTGGCAAAATACATGTACTGTATAACAATAAAGTCTACTACATATGAAGGACGTTTGCAAGTTTTCCTAAAGTCTTTCAGCAATATATTTGTTTGAGGGAGTGTAAATGTATATCAGATGTGTTTATTTTTGTTGGATTATACAGGATATGAGTCATGTTAAAGATAGTAAAGATTCTCAGATTATATATCCTGATGTTGACTCTTTACACCATATAAATAGAGCATTTATAGGTGTGTAGATATTTTTAGCCATTGTGTGCTGAACAGCTCAGAATTTATTGAGCATCTCTCAAAACCCTACAGTAAACATCTCTATTTGATTAACCTTCAGCTGCGGATGTCCCTACCTCCTCTAAGGATGTATCAGAGATGCCAAAGCTGCTCAGACCCATATCAGCGAGCGTCTCCTCCAGCTCCCGAAACAGACTGGCATAGGCTCTATGCTTGAAGCCTTTATTAGGGAGCAAATATGTCAACTCCTGCCCAATGGTCTCTATAAGTTTGGCCTCAGGAACATGATGGTGAATAAGACTGGTGATGCTGTCGATATCCCCTGGGAAGAAAATAGAGAAGTTTAGGTTTTATATGTTTTTTTGTTTTTTGTTTTTTGTATGAGCAAAGTTTTTCCCAGGAAGCACAAACATTCTACAAGAACAAAGGAAGAGGAGCTGCTTGAAAACTAAACAAAAAAAAAACCAAAACAACATACAGTATCATTCAAGTGAGTGAACTTGTTCTGCAGCAACTTTGGGCTGTTATATCTTAGGCAGCATCTCATCGGGCAGATAAGTAGGAAAGGGGCTTTTATGTCAACGACACAACAAAATTATTAATGTTTGTGAATAATGTGCACTGTTCAATAGTGTTTTGTGACTTATACGAGAGGTGCAGTGATAGGAATTGTAAAAAGAGCCTGTTGGCACAATTACTGACTCACAGATACCCTCATACCTGTGAAAATACAGGGGAGGATGTGTAACAGAGTTCCTCTGCCCTTTTATTTTAAATTAATTTCAACAAGCCTAACCATTATTATCTGCACGTCCCTCGGACATTAGAAGGCACTGCCACATGCAAAAATATCAATCTTTTCAGGACAGATGGGTTCTAATCATTTAAATATACATATTGGTTTGCAGTGATGCTTCTCTCCAAGTAGACAACAAAATAATGACAAGCCATTAAAATAGCTTAAAACAAAGAGGTCCAACTTTATTTTTGATGGCCTTCATGTGCTAAATCAGTTAAAGTATCTGAGATCAATTGTTAAACACAAATAGGATGCCTAAGGGACAAATGTGGAATAGTTTTATCCTTCTCATTTCAATTGCTAAAGTCCCTGTGAGCTTTATAAATGTCTTCTGCCCTCTAGTGGAGGATGGAGTACTACAAGTGGCAAGTACTAGTTTTATTGAAGGATTCAAAATGGCTATGAGCCATCCATGGTTTAGTTAAGATGTGGTTTTAGATAAGGGCCATAAAGGCAGTTTCCCAGGGTGTTATTAGAAAGGAAAGGGACAGTAGTAACAGATAAATAGATGCTACTCATTCTTAAGCTGCCCTGAATTTCAGAAAGTTTTTTCATAAAGGGATGTATAGGGCAATAAATATACCAGAGGTCACAATTTCAGAAAAAGTAAAAAAAAAAACAATTCTCTGGACTTTATTTCCAAGTTTGAAGACGTTTTGCTTCCCATCCAGGAAGCTTTTTCAATTCAAAATGTCAGAAATGGCGTTGATTTGAGGCTTTAGAGAGTGGACCAAAAACAAAGACTTGTTTTGGCTCAGAACACGAATGGCTGCCCCTTTGGATTGGGGGTCGTTTGGGTTCTTTGTTAGCCTGCAATAACTGATACTTGTCTATGACTCTGAAAGGGGGGTGTCTAGAGGGGATTGTTAGCCTGCCTGAACAGCAGAGGTGTTCTGTTTCCCTGTAATGGGGGTGCGGGTTGCGATGATAGTGGGAAGGATTCAACTGTATCGTTGCATTGTAGGTTTTTAAAGCTGAAATCTGAGTCCACTTCCTCTGTTTAAGGCTGTTTTTTCTTTCTTAACATAGATGACGCTGTTTCTGACATTTTGAATTGACAAAGCTTCCAGGATGGGGAGCGAAACGTCTTCATACTTGGAAACAAAGTCCAGTGGATTCTATTTTTTACATTTTTGGAATGACTATGACCTTGATGACTGAGAATCTTCACTAGCACAGAGGTCACAATGATTTGGTTAATGAGGGTTAAGTAAGAAAAATAAGTGAATAAATAAAATCATCTTTTCTTTTCAAACTGAAAGTACAACAACATAACTGTGTTACAAAATTGTGTACCACCTGTGATCTTTTATTTAGCCTTTTAGTGTAAAAAAAAGGGATCTAGATTGTCTTTTACATGTAGATGGTTATTAATACTGCTTTACAAAACCCCAAAACTGATTGGTTTTGATTTAAACAACTCATGAGGCTCAGAGGATTCAGAGATCTTGTACCTGAGCTAAGCCCCCGAGTCGACGTAAACTCGGGAATGTTGCCTTGTTTGGTTCTGGCCTGTACTTTTGTCACGCCCCGAAATTGACATACATTCACATACAGACTGTGAAGACATTTTCACAATTTTCCCAAGGATCTGAAGACTCGACAGGCATGGATTATTTTTTTGTATCAGAAGATCCCTGCAAAGTTTGATGCTCAGCTGTTCATTTGCTCTAAGCATTTTACAGAAGACAGCTTTCAAAATCTTGGACAGCTCGAAGCAGGATTTGCTAAACTTCTTTTTTATGAAAAAAGTGGCCTTATGGCTGGTCCGACCATAAGGCCACCACAACCACAAGCTGTAAGTACTATTCTGTCGTTAACCTGTTGATAGCAATGCCAGCATATCAACAATTTGATGTTTCAGTGAGTGAGTGCTTGTTGCTATGATGCGTCTTTGCTCAGTAGCTTCGCTCATTGTAAACCAACCAATCAGCGCACAACTCATCTAAATGATCATACCATAAAAGGAAGAAAACCTGTCGTTTCATTCTAGGGCTTTTAACCAGGCTTGAATTAAGCCCTAGAACAGCAAATATGCTTTTTTCAGCCCAACCAATGTTACACACCCTATTCAGAGAGCGTAAGGACCAGCACCAAATACCCTATAGAATCATTCTATGACCCCTTTAACATTTTCATATTCAAGCTAATGACTGATAATTTCATATATATATATATATATATATATATATATATATATATATATATATATATATATATATATATATATATATATATATATATNTTACCTCCTCTGACAGCGAGACCGGCCATTATTAGAGACCCGGCCGCTATTGGAATACAGGCCAATATTAGAGAATTTACGGTATATATATATATATATATATATATGATTAAATATACTGTGGATAAAAGCAGAGAAGCTGCAGGCGCATTCAGTGTTTTCTAGATTTTCTTTAAGAAAGGCACAAAGCAAAACAGCTTAGGTAAGTTTATTATGAGGTGTGAGTAGTTTTCAGAACAAAGGATTTACTTAATTGCTGATGCTTTAATTCCTGCCTAAATACCTTTGTTTTATACAATCATTTAAAAAACTTTTTGCTAACTAACTTCTGTGTTTTCACAGCAGAGGGAAGGAAACAAGATACCCTCTATAATAAACACGAACAGTGACATAACAGTGAAAAGTGCTGCTTTTGAGGACAGAGCACATGAAAGGTTGATAGAGGACAGGAACACTTACCCTCCAGAACTCTGTCTTGCTGCTGGAGCAGATTCTGGGACTGATCTTTGTATTTGGTGCACAGGGAGCAGGAGCACGAGCAGTCTGAAGCACAATCGCATTCATTCTGACAGACAAGCAAAAGAGAAGGAGGCTTCAGCAAAGAATATTTATTTTCTGCCAGAGGAGGCAGAAACAGTGTTCTTGGTCTGCAGGCATAGCTCACCTCCCGCTTCCTGATGTCCTTTAAACGGCGTACAAGTGTCAGATAAAAGCCAACTCCGAAACAGTTTTTGAGGAAAAGAGGAGACCCCGAGCAGCAAAGCTGTCCTTTGGAAATGATGGCGATGCGGTCGCTCAGCAGGTCGGCCTCATCCATGTGATGTGTGGACAGAATCACAGTGCGACCTGCACAGTAACGATGACAAAGCTCAATCTTTGTTAATATCTTGGAAAACATAAAATCCAAAACATTTTGACTCTGTTCCTTTCTCTCCACAGCCTTGAACCTGAATATCTGTGCTTGAAAAGTCTGCTACCAAATTTAAAAACCTCTGGAAGGTGCAAAGGTTTGTTTCACTCTTTAAACATTTATAAAATGCCATGAGTAAAACATGTTGGAAACAATTTTGTTTTATTTTATTTAAACCTTTATACCTGTTCTATATTTCAGCAGAAGATCCCAGATGGATCTTCTAGAGTAAGGGTCCACCCCTGAGGTTGGTTCATCTAGGATGACGACCTTCGATCCTCCAACAAATGCCATGGCAACAGACAGTTTCCTTTGCATGCCACCTGTGATGTGCAGAACAGATTTATTAAAGACAGACGGATAAATAATGGTCTCTGACTCATAAATAAAAACAGGTGGTTGACCTGAAAGGTTCTGAGCCTCCTCGTCTCTCTTGTGAGGTAGTCCAAGGTCCAAAAGCATATTCTCAACCTCTGTCTGAGCCTCTTCTTGCGTCCGACCCTTTAGCAGTGAGTAGAACAGGATGTGCTCCTCCACTGTGAGACTGGAATCCCAATGTGGATGCAGGAATTCAACATTTTGAGAAAATAATAGAAAAGAATGTTTCAGAACAGAAATTGTTTAATCTGTGTAACACTTCAGCGGAGGCGTAGCCAGAACATTTTAATAAGGGTGGCCAAGCAATAACCACTGTAGACTGAGGGGCGGCTGAAAGCGGATAGGCGCCAGAATCTCAGGGTCAATCTACACTGTTCCAAACAGAAAATTAACAACCAAAACATTCATATTTTGTAAATAAAGACTAACTATACTTTCCTACAGCCTTTGCTAACAAACAGATGCCAATATTTAAACATCCATGATGTCTAAATTAAAGGTGTAGTGAACAAAATTCTTTCAGGTTTGACTTCTGGGGGGACATGTTATTCATTGTCATTACTTATCTACTTTTATCAATAATCATTCTGCATAAAATTTATATTTAAATGTACTAATATCTACATTAAAATGATTAGTTATTATTATAGCAGTTATTTATTTCTTATTTCACTGAAGACTCAGATGACATGCAGAAACATAATTTTCTCTTTACCCCCTAAGATAAAAAATCTAGTTCTGAAAAGAGCATAAATTCTGTATTTATCATCTTTACCCTTCGTATATTGATGTTCATATTTAACCAAAGTGTTTTTGTTGTCAAGTAACTGTGAAAATATGAAAAATGTAAATGTTAAATAAGTTAGAACATTCCACTTGAGAGTATTACTGCTGCCACCCTCTGTATTAGAGGGGGGAAAATGGTTGCCTGAGGGTGGCCATGGCCCCCCATCTAGCTCTGCCCCTGCACTTCAGAAACCCCCATTTCGATGAACAATGGTGATGCGAAGTGTTTCCTATAGTCTATTCTGAAAGGTTTTGTTCGATTTAACAATAGATGCAAGCAACTAAACCCTCAGTCTCCATTTTTGGTCTCAGACCTGCTGTTGGTGGTCAGACAGACCTGTGACTGTAATTTTATAGGAGTCTGACTCCTGTCAGTCAGTCCCATGGCAGCTGTCGCTACATTGTAGCTTACCCCCTACAGTATTTGAATCTGTGGGTGAATGACTGAATGTCAGGTGCACTTTAGAGTCCCACTTGATAAAGCGCTTTTGGTCTACTTTGATTTTCTTTATTTATTTGCTGGAGTTGTATTTAATTGTTTTTTTACCAGTATTTTTCTAAATCTTTTCAGTCAATGCTGCATTTACAGCTGCAAGCCTTTGGTGCGTGTTTTCAGCAGTTTTACATATTTAGAGAGAAGAATTCTTGCTCATTCCTCTTGGTAAAATGTATAAAATTCAGTCAAACTGGACTGAGAGGATCTAAAACCTAATCTTTCAGCTTTTGCCATAGCTCATCTCTCCAAATTAGGTCTGGACTTTAAATAAGCTGTTTAGCATTTGTTGTTGCTTTAAATCTAAACATTTAAACATTCCACTGCTGTAAGGGACATTATGGGTCCCTGTCCTGATGAAATGTGAACCTCCAAACTATTCTCAAGTCCTCTGCAGCCTCCATCCACACTGTATTTAACTTCAGCCATCTTTCAATCATCTCTGACATGTTTCCCTGTTCCTTCGGAAGAAAAGCATCCCGAAGCATAATGCTGAAAAGATCATGATTTCTGGTAGATTTACGGTGTGCTGCAGTTTTAGTTTGTTGACACATTTCCATATATGCAGCATTTTCTTGAATAAACACAAATGCATATCACACTTCTTAAATCTTGACAATCATACATCAAATTCCTCCCATTTCACAACTCTTTGCTACTTTCTGTTGTTTTTGGTTTTTTTACATAAAATCTTTAAATGTGTTGTAGAAATAAAAAAGCAGAAACAAATACAAATGCTCCAACTCACTGATTGAAAAGGATGTTGTATTGAGGGCACATTCCCATAGAAGTGCGGATGATATCTATGTCTGTTTTAATGTCTCTACCATTGATGTAGGCCGTGCCGGATGTGGGAGGGTAGAGACCTGTCAGAATCGACCTGAAAAGAATTTTAAAAATCAGTTGTGAACAGATGGAAGTTGATAACATGTCTAAAGCTGAAGAAGGGAAAGAAACGATGGCTGTAAGAAAGAGTTTCATAGTTTCTTATTCCATCCTGATATATTATTTAAACCTTTAGTGTAAATAATAATTTGACCTAATCTATTCAAATTTTTTCTTTTTTTGCTCACAATGTTGTTGTTTTTCCTGCCCCATTGTGGCCCAGGAAGGACGTGATCTGCCCTTCATAGAAACTGATGCTTAGGCAGTTCACAGCTGGCCGAGATCTGCCATCAAACACCTTGACCAGATCCTGAATTTGGACACCCAAAACCAGGCCAATCGGGTCCGGCTCAAAGAACAGCTGACCTGCATGGAGGAAAAAGCAAAGAGAATCACTTCAGAGAAACATTTGTTAAATCTTTTTCCAAGAGATATATACTTCATGTAAAGAGGCATGTAAGGCTGTTTGGGTTCAGTAAAGCAGTTCTGATAGTAATACTGTGTACCCCATAAAAGGTGAAGAGATGGGAGCTAGGAACAGGAGGTAGGAACTAAATTTAATTTTGACTGAGCCAGGGACTAATCTGTGGCTAAATGAACAGAATAAAATGAAACCAGGCAGGGTTTTTACTCTGTGGACCAGGATTGTCCACCTCTGCTGCATTTACTTCATTTAGAATTCTCATTTCCTCCGGATTGAGTGTAATTCCCTTATCTGTCCACTAGATGTCTTCCTAGTATTCTCTAACTTATAGGTCTCCCACCCTGGTCTTCATGGCCAATTGCCTGCATGTCTTAGATTTGTCTTTGCTTCAGCACACCTGAATCAAATGATTGCATTTACTCCTCAGCAGACACCAAGGTACAGGGAAACCCCCAAAAACATGCTGTACAGAGGGCCCTGAGGGGCAGTACAGTAGACCTGTTCTCTAAATGAAATCTGAATTCGTCAGGTTGTTTGTTCCTCACCTTCATTCTCAGCATTCTGAGCCTCCTCCTCCTCCTGCTTTGGATTTTGCTCTTGTTCCTTCAGCAGCTCCCTTTCTCTCTCCAAGCGTTCTCTCTTACTTTGGTGTTTGCAGGTTTTCTTGCCGGCTGACCCATTCGAGGTGTAAGTTTCTGGCGTAGCCCTGCCTTCAACATCCAGGTCCTGATTCTCTGGTTCTGGTTTCTTTGAATCTGGTTTAGAAAGATAGCCTCCAGTAAAGATACTGTCAGGGATCCCTGATTAAAGGGCTCCAACTAAGTATAATGCTTTGTTTGATACACCAATGTTCCTACACACAACCATGCTTGCAGTGACATTGTTTTTGAGATAAGCTTATAAGAGCAAGTTTTGTTAATACCATGTATGTGTATTTGTACAGTGTCTCAAACCTAACCTGTGTAAGAAATGTTAAGCAAAAGCAGGAAATTTTCAACTGTTTCAAAATTGCATTGGCCAAAATAACTTTCAGAATTGTTAGCAAGACTGGAAAAATAAAACACTGCTCAGCATCTCAGCTGTTCAGCTTTTTTCTTGGCTAAAGTGCCTCACAGATTTTCCAAACGTGACTAGAATATTATACAGAAAAGAAAGTTTGCCATGTGTACTAAAATTCCCTCACTCTGAACTAAACTGTTTGCAGAAATAACTCCATTAGTAAATATAGCCCACTTTTCTGTTATAGTAGTTTGAAGATATCTATTAAGAATTTTCCTCCTTATATATTTCTGAAGCATATCACTGAATTAACAACATTGTAAAGACAAATGCATACAGAACAGGTTAGAATATACCCACAGGAGCAGCCAGTTGTCCCCTGTAATCCTAGATGGACAAATATTCGTCACACATTCCAAAAATCTGGCTGCTATGAAAAAGTGGCAATAACAAATCTGTAGAAAGTCTCATTTAAAGTTTCCCAGAAAACAAGGAGTGGGAGCAGCCAAGGCGTAGAAGAATGCTGCTCAGATGGGATCGAATATGAACTTTTTTCAGTCCACATGAAGTTCTTCGTATGAGAAAAAACTAACGCTGCACTCCCTAAAAAATGACTATTTGGACACAACTCAGAGAATATTTGCATTTTAAACACACCTGGTAAGAGTGGGATGAAAAATTAGCTAATTGTGGGGTTTGTGTTCCCCCACAGAATTCATAATAACTGTCTGTTTAGGTTTTATGCAGGAAAAATACATGTGAATTTGGGATCATACAGGCTCTGGGTGTGTTGAATAGCTTTAAATAATTGTTTCAGCAATTACTAAGACCAACATAGAGTTTGTTTTTTACTAGGGTGGGATTATGAGAAAACTCATCTAGTTACACAAAAGAAGTGCACCAAGAACCCTAACCAAATTAATTCTGGAGAAAATTCAGTACACATTTTTTTAGGAACAAGAAAACTCAACATGTTTATTACTGGACACTCCGTTTTTTAAATACCGGTACACTGAAAATACTAAATGCAAAAAATGCAAGAGAACAGAGAGTGAGCAAAGGTTCACCCTCTAACAAACTTATTTCAAAGCATAGTCATAAGGTTGCAGGGCCAAATCAAAATTTAGACCAAAACTGAAGTGAGCATACTTAATTGTTCACAGAGATTCTCTTTTTAATTTGGCCAAGATTGAGCTATTCTAGATGTTCAAAGCTGGAAAGAAGACCCTTAAAAACAACTGCTGCTGTAATTTCAACAATATATGCATTTTCTTTTCATTTTACCACTACTAAATTATGGTGATCTATCATATAAAACCGTAATAAAATATAAATTAGGGTTTGAAGTTTTAATGGGACAGAATGTGATCAAGTTTTGAATAAACTTGCAAGGGACCCTTTAAGTTAATCAGCAGACAAACCTTGATCACCTTTTTCTGTATACGAAGGTGTAGGTCTCTCCCAGTATGAGGGCTGCAGAGGGAAGTAGAATGGTCGACCAATGCCGTACTGTCCTGTAAAGATATATATATATATTTTTTTTCTTTTTTTGTCATTTGGATAAAACCTAAATAAACATGTTACTGCAAAGTATTCATTATTAAGACTCCAACCTGGGAAGACATTGTCCAGATACCAAGCCAGGACTCCGTAGAGGATGGCATCGAACATCATCATGAGGATGGAGGTGAGGAAAGAGTAAGTGTCTTTCTCTAACGGGCTGGTCTGAATGTTGCTCCACTGTAGACCCAAACCTTGCTCTTCATACCTTGAAAGGTACTCCGTCCCAAAGCCAAAAGCTACTGGAGAGAGCAAGCTCTAGGAAAAGGATGCACAAAGGACACCAATTCATCAAAATCTTTATTTTTTTTAAAAACTAAAACATACATGCATATTAACTCCGTAAGGATGAGTTTATATATTTAAATAACTATAATAATCATAATTAAATTTTTCTGGTGTAACTGGATTAATTTAACAATGAGATGCATATTTACAATAAGATACAAAGAAGTTATAATGCTTTAAAAATTCCTCCTAGACTGTCTGATTTTGCAAAATTCCTCAAATGAAAAATAATTGGACCTACTGCAGCCAGTTTCATGTTCTTGGTGATGCGGTCCTGCCATGCAAAACACAGGATGTGAGGCAGGTAGAGGGTGAAGTAGATGATTCCGCTGCAGGCAGCAGCTAGGTTGGCTTTGTTAAAAAACACACTCATCAGGAAACATTGCATGATGGTGGTCACAGTGAAAGTCAGCAGGAAGAAGAAGACAAGGAGTGGGTCACTGTAATTCAGCACCTTCCCACCCTGTGGAAAAAAGAACACTTTAAGTGAAAGTCATTTGCTTGTCTGCTGTTATTTTTTTCTCTAATAATCTCCACAAGAGTGCACCATTACCCCTTTATAGAAAGAGCCCTTCAAACCAGTGCAAACACAGTTTCAGCTTTCAGCATCTGTCCTTACCATAATGATGGCTGTCAGCAGCGCCGTGCTCACAGTCATCAAGATGAGGCTATCAATGAACCAGGTGTACCAAATGACTGCGTTGTCCACCCCCATGGCTTTGAGGGTCTCTTTGAGGCGCAGCTCCTTCTCTAAGACGATGCTCTTCACAGTCATGGAGACAGAGTAGATCCAGGCCAGCACCATGAACATGGGGAAGCAGCGGTTTAATGTGATCATAAATCTACAGAAAAGGAGAAGGGTGATATAATGATTCTGAATTAGTTTATTGTCTTTCCAAAAACAAACACATCGTGCATCCTTTTTTTCAATTTGATACGAAGCAAAGATTCATGTTTTTAAGGGGGTATATTTATTCAACAAACTCCAAGGTTAAGTTAAAACATTTCCACAAATGTTGTAATTATAAACTGATTTTGATAGTGTTCTATATAAATAAACCCCCGTTGGAAGGTTAACAAGAAACTGAAACAAATGTGGTCTCAAAACAATGAAAGAGCATCCTGGGCTGTGGTCAGAATCAAAACATCTTTTGGGTAATGCAATATATAACACTTTTGCATACTGTAAAAAATAACCTTTTATTCACACATTCGAAGTCCATTTAAAATGTATCTATTTTAGGTCAATTATTAACTCGGAAATTATTTTAATTGGCTAAAAGGTAGATGAAAAAATTCTTAAAAACTAACGAACAAAAATTCAGGAATTATTATTTACTAAGGTGGAAAAAAATAAGATGAAAATTTAAAAGCGACAATTGCCATGTGAGCATTTAAAAAAAATCATGGTTTAACTGCTTGAATTAATAAACTGAATCCCAAAAGACCGCAATTGATTATTATTTTTTAAAAAACAACATTTTCCTCGGTACTTCAGGGAACCTGTGTGCATGTGTTCATTCAAATTGCTAAAGCACTGATGGGTCAACTCACAGGTCATCTACATAGCAAGGATATGGCATCTGTTGGACGTAGACCCCAAGAGGCCAATCATTTCCAGTGTGAAGCTTGATGATCCCATGTTCAATCATATCCTGCAGGTATGCAAACCCCCCCCATAGGTACCTCTGGTCCTCCATGGGGTCTGCTCTGGGACCGGGATCCCAGTACCTAACACCGAACAGAAAGAGAGAATATCAAAGATGGTTTGATTTTCCAGTTATATGATTTTAAATAGACTTTATCAAGCAGAAGGTAACAAAGAAATTTCTTCATTTTTCTGTGGATATTTTCTGCCGTCTGAAATAATCCCAAACTTTTAATTTCATTCAAAAAATACCTCAAAGGCAAAGTCTCTTCAGCCACATAAAACACACAAGTATCCCCTTGATGAGCTGATAACTGTGAGACAGAGCTCTGTTACAATCTGATTATTCAATTGCATAGATGCCGGACTCCCACTGGGTCCATTACAGCTTGTTGGTGAGCTGTAAACAGCTCAAAGTGCTTGTGCTCACAGGGGGATATTGGCAGACTGTCTCGCAATAAATGGGAGATCAAAGAGAAAAGAAGTGTATGTAAGTTGTGGACGTGGGTGAGATTAAAGGGTGCGTAATGAGTTAATGAGAACCACCAATAAAGTTCGCAAGATGCAAAGAAGGCAGCTGGAAAGGATTTTCCCTCTTATAGAGAATGTAACAAGTATATATGAAAAGGATCATTGATGTGGCAGTAACAGCATAAAAAGAAATAAAAAGACAGGGGATTGGGTGTTAATAATGTGCAGTGTTGTGTATCAAACGGTACTATTTTTTTTTTTATTTTACATCAAAGAAATTATTTAAAAAGTCTTGAAATTAACATTTGATAAAAAAAAAAATAAAAAAAACGACTCATAAGTGTCAAACATATGGGAACCCCTAAGCCCCTACAAATGAAATAAAACAGATGACTTCTACTTAATGCTTTAAGCTGAACTTGAAACGTTAATTCAAATGTAAAGGTTTCCTGTTTACCTGTGTAAGGAGATACAATCACACATAGAGCTGTTCCTGTTTACCACCTTTCAATAAAAGCAACAACAAATAAAGACGCCACGCCAGTAAAGTTAGTAAAAGCTGACCTCTATGCCATAAATTAAAATAGAGCAGGATTCAAATGTAGCAAACAATAACTTCTTGATTTTAGAGTCTCTATGAAAGCCTGAAAGACATTATTTGCAAGCCAACCAGCTATCTGGGTTTAAACAAATGTTACTGGTTCACCACAAACACACCTCTGGATTTAATAGTGGTTGAACTAGAACTCACCCCACAGGTCTGATGTGGACAAATACATTTTTTTGTTAAAAAACTATCTGGAACCTCTGCTAGGTACAGTTGAAGATCTGTGGTGATGAAATCTTGGAACAGGATGGACAGCCCAAGGGTAAATCTGGTAACTTGATCTACAGTGATGCAAAGCGTGTCGCTCCATATAAATACTTCCTCATACATAAAATCATACTTATTTGTTAATTAAAGTCCCCAGACTTAAATTATTAAGAGATCCCTTGGAGTTAAAAGAATAGGAGAGAGTGTAGGACTCTTCACCATCTAGAGCAAACATCCTAAGAGGTTTGGCCAAAAATCTCAGCCACTGGATAATCCCAGCTTAATGCAATTGGGGAAAAGAGTTCCACTGGTAATAGAGTTACACCAAGTGTCGATAGCAGTGGTACCAGTAGGCGTGGCTTCACGGATGTGAAGAAGATATTTTTTAGCAGGTTAGAAGTTTTACATTTGAAGTATACTATATGAAGCTCCCATCTAGAGAGAATGGATTAAAAAGAAGACTTAAAGTGTTTACAGACCTGTCTTTGATCTTGTTAGTCCGCTCAACTGCATCTATGTCCATGCGGATCTTGTATTTGACATGGGGAGGAACACTCGTGGTCCATGGATACATGTCCATGAAAACCACACCTGCCCAGAACTTGTTCTCCTCCAGCAGGTACAGGGCCTGATGAATCATCTGGGACTCATCGGTGTAAGCCACAAACTTATCTAGACTGATGCACTGCAGACAAACACATGGTTGGAGACAGAGCTTTGGATTTGGTAGTGACACTTTTTAAATTGTGCAGTCTATCTGCAAAGCTGTTGTTCAGATAGCATGAATAGAAGTGTCAGCAATGATATTTTATCTTTGCTCGTTTAGTTTAGAGGCATGCAAACATGAGCAGTACACCTTCCCCTCTCAGAGGCACAATTATCTAATCATATAACACATTTATAAGACATTGCCTATGGATTATTCCAGGTGAGATCATGGATGAAATAAAATCAAACAGGTTTTGCAGTATTTAACATGCAGCGCACAGTTTAACCTGCTTCATCCTCACCTCCTCAATAAACACCAGTGACCTACTTTCACTGGCACTTATTCAGCCCCCTCCAGCCCCCCACCATCACCACCACCACTCCACCCCATGTTTGACAAACTGTGTGGCATGTCTTTTTTTTCTTTCCTCGTCTCTCGGCCCCTTTCCCTACATTTTGGTTCCAATCATCATTTTGTTTTTTCTCCACAGAGCCAATCTCAACCTTTGGGGTTTTTTTCTTATTATTATGTATTCACTTGCTTGAATTTATTTATTTTTTATGTTCTTGAATTCTATATATATCTTATTTGGTGCCTGAAATATTATATGACTGTCTGTTGGAGATGAATCATACCCTGTAGGTTTTTTTTTTTTTTTTGATTGATTGATTGATAAGAAAACATACGGTATTATTTATTTCTGCTTTAAACATATAAAGCAGAAAACATATATTTTATTCAGTCAAGCAATTATTGTCATTTCCCTGGCGACTTTATGGACGCAAAGACAAAAATCCTAGTAATGGATGGTTTTTAGCTGCTCTGAAGGAGTTTTTTTCTACAGTCTTGCTTATTTGCATCATTTTCCCACTTTTTGTGAAAAAGCTGCTATTGCTGTCTGCCCTTTTTTGACATTTCTCATTTTTATTTGAGTATGCCATTGCATTTTTTTTTCTTTCAAATATGTGTTTTTGTTCTTTACAGAACAAAGATTGCAATTGCAATTCTCAATTTCCACACTGTAGTACTGGGATGATTCTACAAGTATTGTTTTTTGGTTTGTTGATACTTTTTCCTAAGAGAAAAGCAAGATGATTAATACACCTTCTGTACACTATCTGCAGTAAGAAATGGATTTATAATGCATGATACTCAAATGCTCACCTAAAGACAGGCAGAGGAGAGGTACCGGTACGCTTCCCAATAGAGTTGTAGTGTGAGAAACATTCACTCTTGACAGAGTGAGAGGACCTGGTACTAACTGCCACTACCATTCAATGCTCCAATGGTAGCTGACAGCTGTATCTAATTGGTTAAATTGCCATGGTTTGTTTGTGGGGCTCTGAGTCGTTGTGGCACTAAGCAATGCGACAAAAAGACAAATTGAGATGCCTGTGAAGATGGAGTTCTTTCTTAAACCACCATTTTTGGCTCTTTTAAAATAACACAAGAGAGGCAGGGAGAGAGAGAAGGAAGGATAGAGTGATTTTCCCACTTTTATAAAGAAGAACAGAGGTTAGTTTCAATGCCAAGCTGTACACTGAACCACCTCTGAGGAAGGTGACTCATTCCCACCTACTCCCTACTTTATCACCATCTCCACAATGGAGGCAAGGGATGGAGGCGACAGCACACTTGTCCTCTCCACCTTTTAGGCTGATCGACGGGAGAGAACCTATAGAGCTGTGATAAGTGGTTCAATCTATCTAAAAAGGCCTTTCTGCAACATAAAGGGAGCAGCCTTGGCTGGCTGATACTTCTGTCTGGAAAACGAACAAACCTACTGGCAAATAAAACTTATTTACATGAATCCCAGCCATAAAGAAGGGCTCCTTACCTCTCCATATTGGTTGAACATGCGTATGATTTGATCGGTAATATTAAAAATATTCCTCCAGTCAAAGTTGGGCATTCCCTCCTCCCGTTTCTCCTCTGGACCGTTGTCCAGGAAGTTGAGAATATCTTTAGTTTTAAACTCGCCTTCCTGAAGATTATCGTCCAGAAAGGTCATCACTGTAGGATTCCTCAGTGTATCCTGAGAGGGAAAAAAACAGCACTATGCATTATTATCTTTTTTTCTTTTACTTGCTTAATTAATCTAAATTAAAATTTTATATTTGTAATTGAAATGAGAACAGACAAATCTACTAAAAACACACAACATTTCAAGACGGTTTGTTTAAGTTAAATTTTAGTATATTCTTTGCCCACCCACAGTAAAATATTAAAAGGCTGAAATAGAAATGAATCAATCTAATTCACTTAAGTTTAGTTATACAGTGTCAATTCACAACACGTAATCTCAAGGTGAATTACAATGCAACCAGATCATACAAAGTTTTCTATCGAAGGAAAACCCGTTGATTGTGTAGACTCATTGACTTGAAGGCAATCCTTCACATCAAGCATACTTGTAGCGACAGTGGAGAGGAAAAACTCCCTTTTAACAGGAAGAAACCTCCAGTAGAACAGGGAAGGAGGCTTAGTGTGAATTACAGTAGAATTACAGTATTAATCACAGGTGAAAATTAAAGAGTCATAAACCATTAAAAAACAAAAGCACCAGCACATATGGATGATGATGATGATGATGGGCACCAATACATTTCCCTAAGATGGGATTGCATACTTGACAAAACATGCTTTTTAACTACAATGCTGTATTTGCAGGGTGCCCACTGGTTGCCTACATGACTACTATTCACATTCAGTGGATTTTTTTTTTTTTGCTAATCTTAAAATAAATAAATAAATAAAAAAAAGAATGAATGTGTTAACCCACTAGAAAAGTATTTTATCAACCTACAACTTTGGTTTAAGGAAAGGAACAACAGAAAACTAATGCAAAAGGGCACTATGCATTTTATATTACAAGTACAACCGATATCAAAAGAGGCAACTGTGGGCTTCATTTGTGAGCACAAAGTTAATATGCAAACACTAAAATTCAGATTGCTCTGGCAGAATTGTTCTTGTTTTTGATTTTAGCTGTCTTCAGCCTTTTTCCTTCCTTCCCATCCAACGCATACCGCATGTAGGAACTTATTTTAGATATTTAATTTAAAAAGATTGTGACAAAAATACATTTAAATGGACAGTACCCTGATCATGTTCATCTGGATGCTGTTGTGGAAGAACGCCCAGAGCTGAGGTCCCACCTCTTCCCAGGCCTTGGCCATGTTCCTCAGCCTCTCCAGCTCCTCAAATGTTGTATTAGCCTTTTTTAAAAAAGATACAATTTAAATCCTGTGAATCACTGTTTCCAAAATGAAAGTCCACCGGAGCATCTGATACAGAACCTTACAAGAGTCATCCTTCTCAAAATGTTTAATTTTTTTTTTTTTTTTTCTAGTTACAGTGAAAAACGTTGAGGTATGTTAACACATTTGTATATGAAAAACTAACACATAAAAAAAAAACGCATTAAAATATATCAGTCTGAATCTTCTGATAACTTTTGTTGATATTTAGTCCACCTTTACCCCGATATCCCTAAATAAACCAACAAGCAACCAACTGCCCCTGGAGGTGACCTAATTAATAAACAGAGTTCAACTGTAACTGTAATTTATTATAAAATTTATTTGAGGTTTGTAAGAGCAAACAGCATGTTGAAGACTGAGAAACTGAAATTAGTTTGTGAAGAAATTACTTTAGAAAATAATATCTTAAGCTTTGATCTTATCAGAGGGCTTACTCAATCCATCATCTAAAAATATGGAAGCTGTACTGTGCAACTGCAAGCCTGCAGAGACAATGCCCTTAACCAAAACAGCTGCAGAGATCCCTAACTTAAGTGAGAAAGTCATTTAACCCTTCACAAAAATAGCTTTTTGGGATTAGTGACAAGAATAATGTCATTGTTGAAGGACAGCCATAAATCCTTAATTAAGATCATCAAAGCCTGGTCAAAGAAACCAAAAATAACTTTGTGACCTTCTTGCAAATCTCCATGTGTGAGAAAAAGTCCCACTACAAATCACCACCAATCCCCACCATTCAGTGGGAATGCTATTTTCAGCAGGGACAGGAAAGCTGATTTAAGTTGATACAAAGATTTAAATCATAATGATAACTTCCTTAAAACTATAATTGTCACTGCTGCCAACAAACTCAATAAGTGCTTTACATCCTTGTTGTCCATTTAGTGTTAACATCCCTCATATTATTTGTTGTTTCTTCTTAGGGTTTTTCCCAGTAGTGAAGTGGTTTAAACACTTTGACTCTAATGCAGCAGACTGTGGTTTGAATCCCAGTTGCGTCATGAAGGTCATTCTGTGTGATAATGGTGCCACATCTGTCAGCAGGTCATAAATGACCAAGCTGGGGACCGTGAATTAATCAGCAGCAGAAAACGACTAAACAGTCTGTTTTTTTGTCATTAATATATATGCACAGATTGTAATTTTTCAAAATCTTCCTGCTTGGTTGAGCTTTTCTTTCGCCCGTATTTTGAATTCACCTGTACCGTAGATTTTTTTATTTCTTCATATTATATTTTTTTCTTTGTTTGGGTCTGCATGCTCCCCTTTTTTTGTCCTGTTGTTTCTGGCATACAAGAATTTCCAACCAATAAGCACAATAAAGGATATTTCTATTCTAAATAAAGACATTGACTGCTTTAGACCAGTTTAATTTTTGTGTATGCTGACTTAACCCTAAATGAAAGTCTGCAGTAAAACTTGGAAGAACTGATATTTACAGATGCTCTCCTTCCAATCCAATTCACTTTAAGCTATTCATTAAAAATAAAATTAAAAATTAAAAAACAATTCATCCCCTCCAGAGTCCGATGAATACTGGCTCAGGGGAATAATACAAACAAATGTACCCCACACTATTAAGCTGCTATGTAAGTTTGTAAGGCAAACTTCAACTCCTAAGCAGCTTTTAAGATTTAGAAATAACAAAGTGCTTCACAAAAGTCCTTAAAACAAGAATAAAAAACAAAAACTATTTAGAAAAAGAAAATCCTCTTAAACAATAATAACATTTACCATCCAGTAATACAGATGAGCTGATAAAAACTTAAACTAATACTATAATTTCATATAAACCTACAATTCCTATTAACCTTTTTGTTTTTGTTTTGAAAAACTTAAAAGCTGTAATTACGGTACCTAAACTTCTACTAAAGCTCTATGTCATGATACCAGCTTAACTGACAAAAGCTAGAAAATATTTACAAAAATATGAACCAGTTTTAATTTCAATTCAAGGCAACAGGAATAAGAAATAAGAAAGTAAATTTTTATCAGTTTCTACTCTTAACAGCGATGTATTCTGTGCTAACAGCAGTGACAGAGACTGATCTTTTTACCTCCCCCTCCCACACATTCAGTTATTAATTTGATTTTCATCTTCCACTGCTTCCCCTTGTAGACCTTCCACCCATATCCTTTACATTCAGAGTAAGGTCATCTAGAGGGTTGTGTGGGTAGGAAGGTATATAGAGTGTTGGTAAAAAAAAAAAGAAAGAAAGAAAAGAAAAACGGAGTGCGAGGGTGTGTAGAGGAAATAAAAGGGGTGAAGGGTCAGGCTGGAGGTGGACTCTCTTACGCTCTTTAATATCTTTCGGACGACCGGGGAGTCGGGTGTGTACAGGATCTTTCCCATCAGCAGGGGCTTGACTGAATTCCATACAATCTTTGTGACAGGGTTGGACTCCAGGGTCTGCATCAGGGAATTGCAAAACGGAGCTGAAGGCAGAAAAGAAGCAAAAATATGCTTGTTTAAAAAGACGGAATGCTGGGATAAAAACTGCTTCCCCCATGAAGTCGTCATTTTTAAAATATTAATCTTAAGACACAGCTGGTTCAAGTTTAAAAAGAGGGATGGATTTTTACCATCAATATTTTGACAGTTCTGATCAAATCCTCACACCTCAATACTCAATTCAGAGATGTTTAAGTTATGTTTAAATGTCTTAAACCTGGGTAACGAATGTTTTGCAAACAGATAATTATTGCTTACAACTGTTAAACTTATTTAACATGTTGCCAAAATACAGCCACACTATTGGATGTATTTTATTGGGACTCAAAGTAGTCTATATTTGTTAAATGGAAAAGAAAATTCTATTCTCCACTTTTGGCTTTTTTCATGTAATCCTTTGTCACTTTTCCTCAACTAGAAGCTCATTCCCTTTAGTCAAATTACCTTCATTCAGTCAGATTTGATGCAAAAAGTAGACATTTCTTTCTGTGAACAAAGTCCCAGGTAGATTAAGGTCTGGACTTGGAGTAGGCATTTCTAAAACATTGACTTGCTTTCTTTAGAGCCATGGATTGTTATCCTACGCTCTAGTCTCTTTTTCTTATTTATTCTTTTTTATTCTTTACAACTGCTTCTAACAGGTTTTCTCTTTGTATTCTTGTGTATTTAGCTCCATCCAGTTCCCCTCATAATTTAACCAGTATTCTTTTCCTTGCTGAAAAACAGCATCCCAAAAGCATGAACCTACCACCACCATGTTTCACCTCGAAGACATCCCTTAGCAAAAGTAGTTTATTCAAGTATGCTAAAAGTGCACTAATTTCATACTTAAAATCAGGCAGTGCACTTAGAGTTTACTTATTCTAAACTATATCTCATATACTTAATAGTATAGTCAAGTGTACTTGACTATACTATTGTTTACTTTATTGTTTACTAAAGAATACTTTAAGTATACTTAAGTAAACTTAAAAATGTCCCAATTTAGTTTGAAGAAGTATTACTTTAGTAATACTTCAAGTACACTAAAAGTACATTGTTCGGTATACTTTCTAAAATTATACTTATACTTAAGTATTCTTAATAGAATTTACTTCAAGTATACTACTTATGGTAAATCATGTGAAAACTTCCTTAGGCTTCCTTTAATACTAATAATAATTGAACATAATTGATCACACAATGGAGAAATTTACTTCTGCATCTTAACCCATCCCCTTAGGGAGCAGCGGGCTGCCACTGTGCAGCCTCTGAGGAGCAATTGGGGGTTAAGGGTCTTGCGCAGCCCAGAGTGCAGGCTGTGGGGATCGAACTGTGTATTTGCAACCTTCTCAGAGCAAAAGTGCACTGTTCTAACCACTAAGCCACCACCTCCCCCCTTTGAACAATGGCTTTCTTCTTTGTAGTCTTACAGAAAAGCCAGAAATACACCAGAAACACGTGTAATTGCCGTTTGGTTGAAAAAAAATTATCTCCCAACTCATAAGAAGCTGTAGAAATCAGCTCATCCTAGTTACCTTGTGTGTCTTGGCTGCTCCTTTAAACAAATACCCTCTTTGCCAACCCGGTCAGTTTTTGCGGGCAGCAATGTCTTGGTCGGTAAACAGTTTAGCTATACTCTCTCCCAAACTTTACTGCATCAACTTCTCCACTTTTTCTTCCTCTATGCTGTGGTGCTTTCTATTCAAGAAGTTGTCTGTAGACTACTATTCTTAAAAGTAAAGACTCTTTTCCCATAAGACGAGTTCTGCTGGCCATGAGAGTACAATGGGCCAAGTTAAAATGTATTGAACAAATTTCTAAACAGAATATCCTTTCTGACTAGGTGTATTTTGTGAGTGAATTTTCATGTGGCATTAAATAATTTTAATACTTTGATATTTGTAGCTGTAGAATGAAAAACTGTGAAAAGGGTTCTGTAGGGGCTTTACATTAGATTGCAAGTTGAAGGACACAAGACAGTTCACCATAACAAAGAGTCTCAGTTAAGTTGCAGTCCTTTAATTTTATGTCCGTTTGGCCATGAGAGCTGTGAAAACTGCAGCGTGAAAGAAAGCCAGGAAATAAGAATCTCTTAGCAAACTGTAGTTTTTTTCAGCTTAACTTTCAAATTATACTGATCGAGAACTTAGATAGTTGCTGAACAAAAACAAATGTGACTACTAGCATTGTAAAACTGTTGAAATGCAAGATCTACTTCATTCTTCCTAAAATTAATACTTAGGTTAATCATATTTGCATATTAGAATTTGCATAAAGATTTAATGAGATCCTTTTTTTTGTCATAGTTGCAAAAAAAAAGATTGTTTCAAACATATGTAATGTTTGTGATGAGTCTGTTCATAAAAATCCAAAGCATCACCTTTCATAATGACCAAAATTCTTAATTGTTTCTAAATTGATTGAAAACTAGTTGAGGTTTCAGAGTTCTTTACTTACTTGTAGTGTGATCATAGACGTGGTTGTGGTTCTTGCTACCATTGACCCCCAGGAACACCTTGTAGTTGTTGTCTTCATACCAGTTGAATGATAGGACCCTGGAACCCCCTCCCTCTGGGTATCCGCAGAAGAGACTTGACACCCCTGTCATTAACTGAGTGAAGGAAGAGGGCCCTCCAGCTTGGAACAGAGAGGAGACCACCTTGAGGAGTTCCTGAGAGCTCTCTCGTTTAAGCAGCTGTGGATTAAATAAAAAGAAATACCTTTTTTTCTGATGTATTATCTTCTTCTATTATCTTAGTTTCCTGCTGCTAAGTCATTATGTGGTTATGGCAACAATATTTTAAACAAATTCTTAAACTGGATTTTATAGCTAGATAGAGTAGCTACCCTCTACAATAATTGGATCTTTTGATGTGAAAAACGAAAAAAAAAATAAAAAAGAAGGGTAGTAATAAAGTCTTGAAATGATGTCACACTCTTCTGTCGGTGCATTACGCCACCAGTCGTCTTTGTGGAAACACTGGTAAGCAAGTCTGTCATAAGTTTTCCTTTTCTGTAGATTTTACTTATATTTTCTCTTTGTTCTTTTCGGATATGTGGACTATGAGTCGTTAAATTAATGAAATAGATTCGACTTTTCAGTAAACATGCGTTTTTGCTGACTGCTGATAATAACTGCCTGTTTTGAGCTAGAAATATAAGATTATAGAGAGGCATACTTCTCGCACTCATTAAGCAAAAAAGGGAAAGACCTCCTGTTGAGCCACCTATTTACATGATGGGTTTTTAAGTGGGTTGTCATCGTGGCTTTCAAGACAAAAACATTATAATATATAAACATTTGCTATAGATCAGCCCCCAGAAATGAAACCTGCAGAGAAAATGACGTACGAGATGACGGTTATGATATAATGATTTATAATCATTTAGGGATTGTTTAAATCAAACTGAATATTATATAATAAATAAAAAGTTGATGTTTTCTATTTTTACAGCATAAGAGTATACCCCCCATTAAAATATACAAAGGTTTGTATTTATTCCTGCATAAAATGAAGTAAAGTGAGGTCACCCGTTTAACTGACCTTTGACCTTGAAGACATTTAGTCATCTCATTCTGTGCTTCATTCCTCCAGTATTATAAAAGCATATTAGATACTTCTACTTACTTGGGAATCCAAAGAAATCTGAGTTTCCTGACCTTCAACAGGTAATTATATTCAGGGTAGTGATATTTACATTCCTCCTATTCACTAATACCCTGTGAGCTTCATTATATAAACGATCACATGAAAACAATTGTTTGAAAGATAAGCAAACATGGTGCTCAGACGCCTCTCCTCATATGATGAGGATAGCCACAGGGGTGGGCTAAATATCCTCCCATTGACAAGACAGAAATAGCTTCATGCAAGTCCAATCTTTTTCCCAAATGTGTATCATTTCCTCTCTAAAGAAGTATAAACTAGAAGACAGACCTGCAGCGCTGTTGCAGTTTTCTTTTAGCAAATTAGTCTGTAGGGAATTTAAAGCTTTAATAAAATCTAATGCAAAAACAAATATAGGGAGGCATGAATTTCATACAACTGTCATACAACTGGATTCATGAACCCATGTCAACATTTGCAATTAACTGTTTTTTCACCACATTTCTTAAATGATCTGATGTTTTTTGTGACTGATAAACTTTTACATGTGAAAGTGCACACATGCAGACTCCCACACATGCTGCGACACGCCCCTGATTTAAGCCCGGCTCACTCCTTCTTCCCTCATTTTTCAAACTTATTATTTCTCACACATGCGCGGAAGGTAGTAGGTAATGAGAATAGCCGGCTCGCCTTTCCGTCACCACGGTGACACAAAAGGTCCAACCTAAAGGATGTGTCACCTCCGAGGAATGTCCCTTTTTCCCCTCTCTCTCTCTACTCTCTTCATGCACCTCCCACAGGTTTCTTTCTTGCATTCACCCCCTTGCCAAAATGTTTCTGGCATTGTCTCCCTCCTGGGACCCAGAGAGAACGTGACAGAGTACACATCTTATTACAGGTGCTTAAGAGGTTATGGCTTTTATTTTATATTTAGTCAGCACCCTTTAAGTAGCCTTTGTGATCCAGAATTTAGATTGATAGAAACTGGAGTTGTTTTGCATCATTTTCCTATTTATGTTAAAAGAAAAAGTCATGAATAAAGATAATATTCCTACAGGCCTACTTTTTTTTTTTTTTTTTGCTTTTTAATATGCANGGACTTAAAAATGTATGTTCCAGTTCAGGAAATATAGCTCTTGTCATCCTATGTCCTACTTTTATAAGGCTACGTTAGCATATTGAACACATATTTTTTGTTCTTGTCAAACTACTTAAATCCATATATTCAAATTTAGAAAAATATCTACACACATGTTGGGGTGATTTACTAGAAAAGGATTATAGTTTTCTTTTGATCTGAGTTGAAGACAGGACTGGTTTATTCTACTGGAGTTTTAAAAGCTAAGAGGTTTGCATGGTACCAGCTGGCCATGGTTGTATTCATTTGAACAAAGTATTAGAATCTAATTCACAAGAAGTTTCTAATTAATTAACACAGTGTTGATAAAGGGTTTTGACTGATTGAGTTGGTATGGAATTTGTGTTTTTATCATTGGAGGTCATTCAAAATGTCTTGGATGATGATCTGTGTATGTAAACAATATTCATTCTACTGGAATCGCATTCTGTAACTTTTCTCTTTGGCTTATTGTATGCTTTTTGTTGTTTTGTTTTTTTCCTGGGCCAATTGCTAAATTTACTTTACAGTTACCCTTAAAACAAAATGCATATGGCTCTTGAGTTAGCATCAAAAACTGAGGATGAGTAATGGTTTTGTGAATAGTTATTTTTGTAAAGGCGTTTGGGGCTAATTCATTTCCAATAAATTGACCAAAACTCTTTGACTCCGCTTACCATGGAAGAAAGAGAAGAAGGATGACAGAAGGGATGTGCATGACAACTCATTCCCTCCATAGCTCAGCTAATGCATCACTACACTATGCTACTATGAAATGTTAAATGAAGCCTTTGTTGGAACTTGTTTTAATCTATTGAGGTTTTAGTTTAAATTGTAAAGGATAAAGGTTAAATATATATGCTCAAACATATAGAACTTCCTATTATCTATCTAAAGAAAGGGACATCTGATTAACGTGCAAATCAAGGCACACATTACTAATGAAAACTTTAAGTGGTGACACGAAGCAAAATTAGTAAGTGTATTTGTCGATAATTGGATGTTGTTGTTGTTTTTTTTTTTTTTATCAGAGCACTTTTCTGTTCCATTATTTCCCCCGCCTGTATTCTTTCATTGCAGCTGAAAACACGTACATACATAGAGTATATGTGGTTGCACAAGTCCTCAGATTAGGCTGAACTTGCTCTGACATCTCAGCCTTTGAATGCTAGATCTATTAGTCACTCATGAACGTAACTCCCTGCCTTGTTGAGACCATCCCTTAGCTCCATCTAGAACGACTTCTTGAACACAGAGAAGCGGAAAAGGCGAGTTTCCTGCAGAACTAAAAATACTGGTGTCTCTAAACCCTGCAGGACTCATGAGAAGAGGAAGAAAGTGCAGAAACAGAAGCCTTTAGAGCACTCACAACTTGGATCTTTTCTGATGCTCCCTTCAGAACCAGACCCCAGTAATGTAGATCAATCCCCTGGGAATGGTTGTCCAGAACCTGCGGCATCTGTGAAAACAAAGTCACAAGATGGACTGAAAAGAGGAAAAAATAGGAAGAATGGGATAAGTAAGGTTCAAACTGGATATTTAAACACAAAGGTCCTTTTCTTACCCCGTGATGCTCACGTTCTAGGTTTAGTTTAGACAACAGTGTGTCACCCTACTTTTAATTATTCTCAGAAATGTTTTGTTTTGGAAGGAAGGAAATCTCTTTGCACAGTTTTCTTACATATTTACAGGAACTGAAATAAGCAGCCCACTGGGACAAAGCCTTATTAACCAACAAACTCATTGGGTGTGATAAAAAAAAAAGGAGTTGTCTATTTTTTTTTGTAATCTTAAATTTTTGATCAATCATTTGATATGGAATCCAGGCAACATTATTTTCTGCAAAACGCCCTCAGAGCCTTTGTGTTTATGGGAAACCATTAGTGAAAGGTGTTAGAAATGGCCTGGTCAGGGCTAACTGCAGCGGGTATAAGGAAACCATGTGTGCCAAGGCAAACACATTGATATCCTTCCTGCTGCATTCCTTGTGCCTGCATTTGAATGAACGAAGGAAGGAGAAAGGCAGTACGGTAGAGGCTGGGGAGAGAAAAAGAAAAAGGGATATGAACACAGGACGTGGATAGGCTTATGGAAAAGGGAATCTAAAGCATGGCTGTGGTGGAAAAGATAAGTTAGAGGTCATTACAGTAAGAGGGTATGGTTTGAAAATATTTGCATTTCAAATAAAAGTGATGGAGGAAGTCTTAGAATCCTGAGCAAAGTCACATTGCAATAAATATACAATACGTTCTGAAGGTGCTTTGATCAGACAAAACTGAGTGAACTTTTTGAGGGATATGCAATCATTCAACTAAAACTATTGTGATGAACAACAAATCCAGATGCTTTTCTCCTGAATGGAGGAAAGTGAGTTGGAGTTTACGGGTAGAAGATGTCTAACAGTTGCAATTCTATATATAAAACTAGTTAAGCTGCAGGTAAGAGATGTAATTAGAGTGAAGGCTAACTATCCAGCAGGACTTTAAACATATAGCTATGGCTACAATAAGACAGTGCCAAGCAAAGCATTTTTTTTTATGTGGGACAAAATGGCAGAGTAAAATTAAAAACCTAAATCCAGATAATAATCTGTGGCCTGATCATCAACGATTCCAAATAAGTAGCACTAAATCGCTTGCTTTGTCCGGAGCTCATAAGGAAACATTTAGGCTGAAAAAAAAAAAAAATACAAATATATCTTAACTACAAGATAGACACCACCCAAAAAAACTGTCAGGGGCCAACGAATTCTCAGTGTTCAAGGCTCTGTACATCATTTAGAGCTCACCTGATATAAAACTACGAAACATTTTAAATGAACCAAAAAGTTAGTAGTTCCGAAATGGATTTATTTTGGAGAATAATCATTTTGATTATGAAAATAAAACAAATGAGTTTTTTTTAATATAATTGTGTACTCCTAATGTCAGACCATGAGTCTGAAAATTAAATTAAACCAAGTGAAATCATGTTTTAGCTCCAACTCAGAAAAATGTAATGGATTTGCTGATTACTGATGAAACTGTAAACTACTATTAATACTGCAGTGCAGCAGAAAATGTGTTTGTCTGATTTTTAATGCACGCACACTAAAGAAACGGTAAAAAATAGAGGCAGTAATTCACAATTTCAAAGATTTACCGAGATTAAAAAATTGTAAGTTCAAATAAGTAGTGGTAACGCTTTCTTTTACAGTAACTGTGTAATAACATGGTAATAACATAGCAAGTTACACTATATTACTAAGTAACAAGAATTTTACTAAGTGCTGTGCTTCAAATTTTAGGCGGACAAGTTAAAGTCAGACTTCTTAGATTTCAAACCGCTATTACCAGATAACTCATATTCATTTCGCAGACAGCAATAAATGAAAGGGTCATCTGCTAAAATTCAGTTTATTACTTGTATATAACAGAAAACCAAACCTAAAAGACAGCAAGCCAATCTTCTTAACTGAACTCTTATTTATCAGTACATCTTGAGTTCAGTTTTATATTTGTAGGTGGTGGCCAATAATAGAAAATGTTATGTGGTAACCTAATGGTAATTACAATGTTACATGGTCACATACGTCTGTAATAATTACGTGCAGTTTATTATTTTTGAAGTCATATACATTTACCTTGGGGTAATTGCTGAAAAAGTTTCGCTTGTTACCAAGTACTATAGTGCAGCTTGCTATGTTATTACCATGTTATTAACATATTACATGGTTATTGATGTCATGTAAAAGAAAGCATTACCAATAGTTGGCACTGAAGCTATTACTATGAATGAATATAAAGAATATAGCTGCCACATTAGTCAGTGCAGGTTTATAGAAGTTTTTCTTTTTCAAAATTTTGACTTAAAAGTAATAGAAATAAGAGGATATTCAGTTCTCCATTTGTTGTTGATCATTAAAAAAATCTTAACATTACATAACATAATGTTTTCTTGAATGGGATCCAAAGAACTTGGCACGAATAACACCTCAATGAAAACAAACCTGATTCCTTTCTTTTGATGTGCTGCCCTGAAGCAAAGACAAGTGCAGAGGAGAACCAGCACCACCATGGTTAAAGGTACCGGTACTGTCTCTGCACTGAGGTTCTCTGGTGGGAGTCCTATCATTTGGACTTGAATAAGTGAATCAGGCAAAGGACATTTCCAGATGATAAATCCAATTATCTCTGTTGAATTAAAGTTCTGAACCAACTATTTGACTGGAGCAATTTGAGGAAGACGAAGATTATAATACCAGAAATTGTTACGCGTTGCCAAAACAAACTCAGGGCTTCTAAAGAAAAAAATCTAAAGTTAACCGAGTATGTCACTCATCTAGTTTCAGAACGCTTTTAAGTTTTGCATTTTCCAGAGATCAATCAACACTCGTTTTAAAACACGGTAAAATATATCCTTAGAGGAACAGGAAATGTCTAGAGATGTGCAAACTGTTTCAGATTTTAACCTTTGCTGGAAAATGTGCAGCATTGTGTAAGCATCTTATTATTATTAAATTTATCATTAGTAAGCCGTGTCTGTATATTTGCAGAAATATTTCAATCCTGAAAACATATATTTTAGATCTAAACTACTATGAACGCAGTTAGGGAGCAAGTCTAGTTCAGAAGTACTCATGCATATATGGCTTATTAAAGATGTACAGCAACTCAGGCAACTTGTTGATCTACTTGGTTATTTATTTATAGGCTTCAGGTAAAAGTATCTACATATCCTTATAGATTCGACTTAAAAGGTTTTAGAACGCTCAGACTTTTTAAGATTCACATATTTTATTCCTACAGGTAGATTTTTCACATACCAGGGTGTGACAGGGTTTAAATATTCAGACAAGCACATGTTACTGGAGTAGCAGATGCAGTATTGTTTCCTCGTGAAATGGCCAACAGGTTGTATGCTCGTCCCAGCTAAGCCCATTAGAGAAACAGGCCAATGCGGATAATGCCGTATGAATTCCCTGAGCCAGTCAGATGACTCACCCTGCCTGAGCCTGAACACCTGCATATACTAATAACCAGAGGGTGTCTAAAAAAAGACTTAAGTTTGATTTCTTTTTTAACTTCTTCTTTCAGCAAAATTTGGGAGAATGTCTGTAAACTGTATACTACAAGACAGTTTTTAATTTTTTGTTTTCCGGCTTTTATCCATATTAGTGGCTTCAGCCTTATGCTTAGGTTCATTTTGGTCCAAGAGAGTCTAAGTGTTGTTGCAACCTCTAAAAAAATTAACTGCCAGGATGGCCCCTTTTTTCAGCTCCAACCACCTTTCTATCTACTGTGATCAGCTTCTCTGCCCCTGCTGAAGCAAAACATCCCCACAGTATGATGCTGCTAACACTATGGTGTTTTCAAGGTGCTGCTTTAATCTAGTTTTCCATCCCACCTACAACTATAAATGTGGACCGAAAGGTTCAGAACAACCAAAAGAACTCTCTCTGATATATTTGCAGTGCTGTGTTTTGTCTTGCTGACTAAGCTGTGAATCTCTGCAGCTACCATGTATCTCTTGTTATTTCTGGTCTGGCCTGTCAGGTTTGTTGGAACGCCCTTTCTTTGTAGATTTGCACATGTGCCATATTTGTTCCATGAATGAAGTAAAAGAGCTCCATTTGACATTCATAGCTAAAAATATTTTCTAAGAGATTTTCTCTGCGTCAGTATTTTCATAACCTTGCCGCCTGGTGTGTTCTTTGATCTGCCGTTTCTATACTAATGATTCTGAAGCAGGTTTCTTAGGTCTTTACGGAGCTAAAAATTGGTTTTGAAGGTATCACTTTTAACAATTGACAAATAATTTTGAAGATTAAAACCAAGTTTTAGATCTAAAACAAAAGCCTGTTTATCTGTAAACAGATTATATGAGAAAAGGTTTAAAGGGTAAGAAAACTGTTTTTCTGCAAAGCAGCCACTGTATCCACCAACACTAGATTTCAACACCCTTTCCTACAATAACATGCATTAATTTAAAAAACAAAAAAAAAAAAAAAAAGTGCCTCACATCATTAGAGAGAATGTGTAAGCTTAGGTTTGAGTGGGAAGACAAATGATGGCAGAGAGTGGAGACACAATTACACCTGCTGCCATGAGATTGCACTCCTCCAGACTCTGACACTGTGAAATGCCTTTTAAAGTTTCTCTCCTATTGCCATTTAGATTAAATCATAACAGTAACAGCAGAGGAATGTATTCATAAAAAAAGGACTATGCAG